AAGTCCGATGCATGCTGGTCATGCTGCTCATGCGGTTCCAGTGGCGGCCAGTGTCTGCTTTCCAGACGCTTCCAAGTCGGTCTAGAACACAGTTCACCGGTCCAGACGCTCCCGCCTCACAGATCTCTGGGGCAGCTGAGGAGTCGAGAAGAGAGAAGCTGATTGAGTTTGACCTCGCCAGGGGCGCACCGTGGGAGAACAAAAAGGACCACGGCTCCCACGCTCCCACGCCGTCGGCCAAACAGGGCGTCGGAAAATCCCTAGAAAACCTTCAGACGTTTGGCTTCTGAGCCAGCATCTGCAGCGCAGTTCACATCCGCAGCACAGTTCAAAAGATGCCAAGATAGCACCAAGGGTGTCGCATCTTCCAATTTCAGCACCCCGTTGATCACGGCCCTTTCTTTTGCAGAGACACCGTTTGCCCAAGCAGAAACGGCTCGATCCGTTTCTGAAGGGCCGTTTCAAACCACACGCCGCCACTTTGTCCAGGAAGGAAAGGACCCCGGATCCAGGTTTGGCCACCCAGGTCGGCTGCTTCACATGTTGACGAAGAATCACCATGCAGAATGCAACGCAGGGCTATTTCAAGAAAGAGAATTCAGTGAAGAGTTGGCCAGATCTAGTTTGGCAGCTGTTCAAGTCACTCCCAGCTTGCCCAAAGCCACTCCGATCCGGCAGCCAGCAACCCCAAAAAAATATCAGGAAAGCGATTGAATTTTCAGCACAGCCACGAGATGTCATCAATGGTGAGGTCCATGTCGTTACTCTGGAAGGATGCGAAGGGCCTCAAAAGGCGGCAATCCACACTCGACCAAGTAAAAGACACATGTGCTGGCCTCACAAGAAATAGGGAACCCTTCTCACACCACTACTCTCGCTGTACTCGACCAGCGATTCTCGGGCCAACGCAAGAGCTCAGCGTCTCTGACCTGCAGAGACGTCAGTGAAAGCAAGACAGCCCAGGAGTCCATCCAGTGCTGTCCCAACGGCGCGGACCGGAGGGCGCGGACCGGAAGCCTGGAGGACACGGATGGAGCTGGGCGGCCTTCCTTCGCCTGTCGGGCGGGTCTGAGTCGAGTCTTAGATCCCCTGCAGCTGGCAGAGACTGGAACCCCACACCCCTCTGGCTTTCAGGGTCCAAAAACTCCTTCAATCATTTCGAGACCAAAGATCCAAAGGTGACCACACCAACTCGTACAAACGAATCACAGTGGCCCCTTTACTCAACGCCCGCACCCTTGAGCCAATACAAAGTGGACCAGCGTTGTTCCACAGGTCTCGAAATAAGAATCGAATAGAAACAATATGACTTCCCAGTGGCCTGCTGCATCAAAGTGGCTCGTGGCCTAGGCCGAAACACATCACAAAGACCTTTTGCGTGCTTCAATGCTTCAAAGAGAGCAACCATCATGAATCATCTATGTCTATGTGCCACAAAAGTCCCTGTGTTTGTATGTTGCTTGCTCTGTCCCCGAGGTCCTGACATGTCAGTGTTGCTTCGAGGTCCCTGGTTCTCCACCTTCACATCGACCGCGCAAGTCTTGGAGTCTCGACAGTCACTGGGACCCCGACATCATCATTGGAACTCGTCTGCAAAGGCCTCGCTTCCGGGAACCGATGGTCACAAAACCACTTGGGCCCAAAACAATCCCACAGAAAAAGACAACGTAGGTAGGTGGTCACCTGCGATCCACATGGTCTTCTTTGTTGAGACATGAAACCGCGAGGCATGCCCTGAGCTGCGTACGCGGAATGTCGGCGAGCCTGTGGCAGGAAACCAGCTTGGCTTGGCCGTAACGAGGCTACAGGAATCTTTCTACAGCAGGAACCGATTGGCTTGGCAGACATCCACCAAGCATGGCTCTAACACTCTAACTTTATGTCATGGTCATTCTCCTCAAAGGATGTCATGAAATGAGCTCATCTTGCGTGTCTTGCATGGCCTTGAACTCATCTGTGCTGGGATGAAGCACCTGAGGCTGAGAGAAAGCACAAAAAAAGGTCCCGTGACCGTGACATGAAGCTTGGCTATATACTTTAATATCTTCATATCTCGAAATAGATAGATCTGGATCGTATCATGTGCTAGTCCTCAAGCTCTAGAGTCGACCTCCAAAAGGAGCCACTCCCAGTTTTCCGAGGTGAAACACCCCGAGCACGCCACCTGGGTCGACCGTGCAGCGTGCACCGCGGTCGACCCCGCGTGCGTCGGGACGGAAGACCTGCCGACGCCCGAGGGCTGAGGTGCTGGGCCGTGATGGGAATCGTCCAATAAATGTGTTTCGTCTATGCACGTGGGATGAAAGAAAGGTTGCTCTCTCTATGCGGTGTTTCGGTCGGTTTTGCTGGATGTTGATTGGTTCCGGCCTCCAGGCAACGGGGGCACATGTCGACTGCCTGGATGTTCGAACCACGCACCGCATGATTGTTTTACCAAGACTTTTTTTATGCCTCGTTTCTCTTTGTGTCCACAGCAGCTTCTTCTTCTTCTTCTTCTTCTTCTTCTTCTTCTTCTTCTTCTTCATGTTTTTGATTGGTGTTGATTCTCTTTTTGGACTGAATGGCTCTGCTCTGTATCAGCTGGATGAACTGGAAGGAAAACGGTGAATTCATGTTTCTCCCGACTTCCCAGCTCTGTCCATCGCCTGGATCGAATCGGCAGGGCTCGCACCAGCCCCGAGAAAGGTCGACCAGGCAGCTGCCTATCGACGCCGTCGTTCGACGCCCTCGCTTCGGCACCGAACAACGACCGATCGGAAGAAACTGGAGAAGCTGAGAAACCGACGGGGAAAGAAGAACTCTCGGAGTTCTAGGGGGTGTACCAAAGGTCAGCCTTGGTGCACACCGCTGCCACACCGCAGCGGTGTGCAGTACGCGATGCAGTACACCACATCAGCCACCGCCTGGGAGCGCTGCACTGGGATGGGCACAGAGACGGCTGTCGGCCACACGGGACCGCTGCGTGCGCCTCGTTACGTCATCCCACGGAATGCTGTCGTCTTCAGGACAAGACCAACCCTGGTAAGACTGAGATCAAGACCTGGACTCAGCGACCTAGACCTCCAAGCTTTGCGACCGAAAATTTGCCAGATCTTGATGCAACTTTATTGATGAAAACAGGTCTTGTTTTTCGAGAGATCGCAAACAGCCTGACTCTCCCTGATCTAAGCACACAGCACATATTGTACAGTCGATCTTTCTGTTCGTATGACCTGCAGCCAGTGTTCCCCACAACTCCTTGGCACCAACCTCAAACTGTTGATGTCAGCCCCCTCTTTTCAGAGACAAAGAAGAGCTATAACCAAGAGCCTATAATGTGTTTGATGCTTGTTTAGTTTCGGCCTTTCCAGGTGGCACAGCATAGCTCGCACTGGGCATGAAGCCTCACACGAAAGCATCGCAGTGTACCCCCATCGCATCACAGTTCATGGGCCGGAGAGGAGCAGAAGGAACAGGATCACAGAGTTGCAACCCACCAGAACGAGTAAGAACCCCAGGGGTTCTTAATACATACAGTACCTATGTTGAGTATGCTGGGGTTCCTAGTGACCAAAGTAGATAATATCCTGTGGTCCTGTTCTCCTTTATTTCAACAAAGGCCCATTCTTGGTCGACTCTTTGTCTGCGAAGTCCGCTCGGACCTCATGCAACGCTGGCACAGCGTGCCACGCTCGCCATGTATCGAGTGGTCGCTGAACTGTCAAAGGTGATGCGTCAAAGGCTGGTCACAGGCTTCAACCTGGTCTGACCATGTATCTCTTTTCTCTTAAGGTGGGAAAGCTGAAAAAGGCCTTACTGTGCAAAAAGGCGTCGATACGGAAAGCTCTGTGCGTAAGACCTGCGTGTGGCTTCTGAAATTCGCTTGGGCCAACGAAACATCGAGATTCCAAATGAAGTCATCACATGTCACAGCTCCCAATGGGCCTACCAGGATCCAATGCTTCATCGAAAGATGTGCAGCAAACAACTGCAGTCTCCCCAGTCTTCATGGACCCACGACCACATCTTCATCTGGGCTCATTGCCGCCTTCGAGCGATGGTACCTGAAACGTGAAGACTCCAGAGCCATGCAGTGGCCAGATCCAGTGGCCACACGCACAGCCATACATGGATTCCAACGGAACAGACCTCACCGTAGTTGCAGATCTCAAGGAACTCCGTTCGGTCGTCAACGTCCCCAGGGCTCACTCGCAGTGGAGTCGGTTGTTGTGAAGCGTCACCTCACCGTAGCACGAGGTCGCGAAAACGTGAACCAAGGGACGCAATGGAGGCTCACCGTAGCACAAACGGAGGAGTGAACCAATGGAGGCTCAACATGAGCCTCTGCGTTTCGACCCCAACTCGATGTTCCCTTTGGATGCGAAGACGGACCTTGAGATTCCTTCAAGCTCGGAGCTCGTCCAGAAAAGTGTGGAAAGAACTGGGGGCATGTATACACGTACGGAAGGTCCATCTTTGCGACGAAGCAAGGATGTGGGCCAACTTTGTTGCATCGTCGCTCTAATTTCTTCAAAGAGGGGTCTCCCCCAAAAAGCAGCCTTAAAAGAAAAACGGTCAACTGCTGGGGGTGATAAGTCGAGTGGCGATACCACACAGCCCAAAACTCTCCTAACTGATCCCTTGACCTGGTAAATTACTGGGGGTTACCTGTGACAATTCCCCACTTCTACGCTAATACAGCCTTTCTCATCGGGCGCTGCCGCTTGCACTCCACTCGGCATCTTGAATTTTGCAGGAAGCACTGCACTGCTTTCAGAAAGGAATGATGAGGAGGAGGATGACGACGGTGATGAGGAGGATAATATATCATTGTGAGTGCTGCTATCTGAGTCTGAAGTGTTTTAATGCTGAACCAGGAACATTGTCTTCTAATTGCAGTACTCCTGGCAACGCTTTGATAATGAATTTGCTGTACACATCGTGCACGATCTCGTTGCAAATCTGCATTGGCTGGGTGAAATGCCTCCATATTGGAAGACAATCATCGCTGGGTCGAGACCTCACAGAATACCACCATAGGAGGCCTGCAGCTTCTTGGCATTCTCTCCTTGCAAAGGTGCGACTAGTGCACAGGTGCGACGCCATTTCAGTGCAAGCCTACCCAAGGAGTACATACCGGTACCCAGCCACTCATGCAAGCACTCGTGCTGCCGGGTGTCCGGTACAGTTTAAGGAAATCCACGGATGAGCCAAAACCTCTTCAAGTGTTAGCCGCTCACTTGGGTTCCTCAGAAAGCAGAAGACAGGAAAGGCATCAGGAAATAAGTTTGGAGAGTATCTGAAGTACATGTATGGCGTTCAGTTGATGCGTTATGTAGCCGCACTACATACCAGCTGAGACTCTTGTGGAGCAGCCTGGCGATAAGGTCCTTTGCTTCCTGCAAAAAGCCACTGACAACTTTGATATGCTTGTCATTGAGAGGTACAAAGAAATTGTATGATGCTTCAAGTCCCGTCCCTGGTCATCTGAGGAGGAAATTGGGGATTGCCCAACTTGATCTTGCGGTAGGTGCCCTTCTCACTCTGATCCTCCGCATGATACAACTGTTGCAACAGTGTCTCACACAGCAAAATTCATGCAAGTCCGTATATGTTCAATCAAACAATTGAGCATGCCCTCCAACCAGAGAGTTTTCCACCGGCATCATTCCACTTCCTCAAATGGAGGCTTTCCAACCATGAACTCATACAGCAGAACGCCAAGGCCCCAAATGTCCACTCGGCCTTTCGGCAGATCGCACAAATACTTCTGTGGCTTCAATGACTTCTTTACCAACAACTGGATGTATTCAAGAATAGTAATAACATGTATATAGTAACTTAGTATATAACCAATCAAGTGATAGGTCTGATAGGTGCAACCCGGCTGCTATGGTACTTCTTGTTGACCACCATCTCTGGTGGCAGGTAGTCCAAGGTTCCGCAAAAGGTCTCGCGCCGCGAACTCGGCGCATGAACTGCCCAGCCAAAGTCGGCAATCTTCAAGGTATCTTTCAGGCCAATGAGAATGTTCTCTGGCTTGATATCTCTATGAATGATGTGCTTGGAGTGGCAGTACTGGATGGCCTCTCAAAGGCAAAGGACATTGCCTTTGAACCTGAAAGAGTCATCGAAGGAAACAGCTTTGGCCTCCACCATCTGCTTGAAATACCATGCTGATCGCGCCTGTGGAGTTGGCACTCGTCATTGGCGCGATCAGGCTTCAATAAAATGTTACTAGACTATCTAGACTAATACTTTGTATGACATCTTCGTGGGTGTGTGTGTGTGTGCACACCCTTCAAGAATATGTACACAAGAGTGCAAGTCTCAATATAATATATAAGCTGTCGCCCGGCTGTCTTTTGGTATTTCGTCCTCTGCCTCCGAGAAGGTGCCACGGCTTTGCAACAAGCCATAGAGCTCCCCACCCGGCGCCATCTCGAGGCAAAGATAAACACGCTTCCTCGGCTGGACGCTTCGCTTGCGCGAAGCAACTGAGCAGCTAGCCCTTGGCTTCTCTTGGCCAGGCTTCTCCATGAATAAGCGAGAGAGTGGAGCAGACGTATCTTTACAGTTGCGAGAGGAAAAATGCAGCTGAGCAGCTCGTCATGGAAGAAAGTGTAAAGTCTAAGAATATTCACATGGCGACAGTGCGATTGAATCTCGATCTCCCGCCTCCGCAAGTTCCGATTTGTCACCAATTCACGCACAGCGTTCCACGCACCGCGTTCCATGCACCGCGTTCCACGCACCGCGTTCCGCACTTCACGGATCACCCGAGGCCTGAGCTGATGCTCCACACGATGCTTAATAAGCTGACGCTTGTCCAGTACTTTCAGGGCAAAGATGAAGCCTGGACAATTTCTGCCAGCGAAAAATCGCTGGACTTTCTGTTGGACCAAACATGACCAAACCATCTCGTCTTTTTCATCTTTTCCGTGGTTGTTCCTCTTTCTGCTCCTGTCTGGTCAATACAGAAGACGACACCGTTGGTAACGTGTCACCCGACACCGGAATAACCCACCTGTTCGCCGACAGCGAGCCACGTAGACGGAGCCGAACTTCCCGGCGCCCAAGCGCTTGCCGACGTCAATGTCCTCACGTCGCGTGGTCGTGTTGCTGCAAGGGAAGGCTGAGCAACCAGCTGAGCAAAAGATGACCACGAACAGCCATTCGCGCTTCTAAGCCCCCAGCATTCAGTGAAAACCACGGAATCTCTGTGCCAAGTGCCATGTCCTGGCGATGGGCGGTGCTTCGGGCTGTGCGGCTGTGCTTGACATTCCGATTGACCGACACACATCAGACAGAAGTCGTTCCCGCTGCTCCCACTGCGGTCATACGAGCCACAGTGATCCTTTTTGCGGTGCGGTCGTCTACAGCGTTCACCCCAAGGATCAGGGGTTGTTCCACCAGAAGAATGCTTGAATGTAGACAATGGATGAATAGGACTGGCGAACTTGTCTGCGACGGCAAGTAAGCAGTGGTCAGTGAGTTAAAGGGGACTGTTGATTTTAGTCAACACCCCCGGGCCCGATGTAAAACATAGTTCCGGGGGGGGTTATTCATCAGTCTACACTGGGCCATCTCGCTGTCTTCACAGAGGATGTCGGATGTCTTTCATTGCATATTAGAGATCAATAAACAAATCGATGAAAGTCTTACATTTTGAACATGTATGCGAACATCGGGGGAAAAGAAATATATGTATATATATATATTATATATATACTACGCAGGGCTATATGTGCGTGGCTCTGGCCGGCAACGGGTCAAGTCAAACTAACCCAGGCCTCCGGTGGCGGCGGCGGCAGGTCTCGAGGACTCACCACTTCAAAGCCCTTCTCTCCTCCGAGGCGCGCGCGGTGCAACCGGGTGATCTGCGGCAGTCGGCCAGGTCATGCCGATCAATGCAGCTCAGGCTCCTTTTGCTTTGTCTCCCTGAAATGCTTGCAAGTACCGGTAACTTGCACATGGTACAATCATCCAAGTGATAGATGTACTTTGCATTGGTCGTCCAAGAAACGGAATCAGCCGGAGCAAGCAGAATGAAGGAGCGCTGAAATGTTCAACAGACTCACTCTGTGTGCAAAAAGTGTTGCCTTTCTGCAGCAGAGTTTCACTCTTGCGTCGCTTCACAGGAGGTGTATTCTCCTTTCCACCTTCCTGACAGGTCCATTTTGTGGGGAGCATTTGCGGGCAGGCACAACGCAAGACACAAGACACGACGCTGGAAGTGTCCAAAAATGTCCGGTGACACATCGTGACCCTGTGCAATCCGCAGAAGCAATCGCACTTCGCCTCCATGCTGCTGGGGGGCACCTTCTGCACGTGCAGCCTGTCACAGAGGCGACAACTTGTGGTTGAAGATGAATACAAGCTTTGTGGAGCCTTGTGACAACTCGCTAACAAAAGTTGACGACGATGCTGCTGGGAACGCCCTTTACACATCATTGCACTGTCTGAAAACCCTTCACGGCATCCGCCCAGTCCTGCACCGAAATCCAGGTGCCAAGGTTTCAATGTAACTAACCCAACTACAGATTTGAACTTCAACAGCTACGGCACACATGTGGCACTTACGTGTCCCATGATTGAGGAGCGTATGCCCGTCTTTTCTAAGATGTCATGCTCATCAGAGCTTCTCAACCATTGCTTCCAATGTGCACGCTAACCAGAGTCATCAATCTGCCCCAAAAGATGGCTTGGGACAAGGCTGCGCCAGATTGAGAGGCGTGGAGAGCTGCCTTCGCATGCTCCGGACTCCAGAACCTCAGATGAATCTTGGCCCTCGGACTGATGGACCGCAACGACTGCATCCCGAGTTCCTGGCTTTATAAAGCCTGGCTCTGTTCGACGCAAATTTCGAGGAGGAATGAACACATAATCCACCTGCGTTCGCATGACAAGCACCAAGCACCAAGCAAGCCGTACACATGACATACTCACAGAGAGCATCGCATGAATTCCCAAAAGCAACCACATCCAGCTCGCTGCTTCGTGGAGACCACACCCCTCTCAGGTCTGCCTTGCCAAAGCGGTTGAAGAGGTCCTGGCATTCGACCGTTCGACACGGCCTTCAACAGGGCCGAACAATCGACGGGGATCGTGTCCATTCTCGATTCTCCTCCACCTCTGCACATTGGCAATCATCTGGCAAGCCATGAACCACATCCAGCTCACACATGGGTCCTATCGGCTGGGAAAGCGCATCGTTTTTTTGTCACCACGCACGTGAGTTAGATATGTATGTATAATTATGTGTATATATATATATATACACGTGGTTTCTCCAGGCAAACGGTGCAGGCCTCTGCGCAAGTCGACCAATCGACAAACACATCGCTAAATCGAAATCTGTCTGCTCTGTCGTTGCTGTTGGCGTGACTACACCACTTGGGGGTTTTCGGGCGAGCGCGGTGGCGCTCGATGACGGAGTCCGGGCATCCAACACATTCATGTGGATTGCTAGAAGCATCTAGCTTTTGAATAGCCATCACAATACGACGCACGCTTCACTCAAGGTGCTCGAAGTGAGCCAAAAATCTGTGAAATCCCAAGAACAGTTGGGAACAGGCGATGTCTCTCGGACCAACGTGTGTGGTTGGCAAAGTATCGAGGACAAAATGGATCAAACGTGATCAAGTTGAGAACATCTCTCGCTTCTTTTCTCTAAGCCACCCATGGCACCGGTCGATCTCGTATCCAAAGATTTAACGCGATCTTCTGGGCTGCATCTTCTGCATCTTCTGCGCGCTTCACCTGACAGGTCAGCTGAAGCGACCCATGGCACCGGTCGCCTTTGTGTTTTGGCGAGGGCCGCTGTTTCCCGGGTCGCCGGACCACCGTGGGACTCCCAGTGTTCCTTTCGGTTCGTTTTCGTCGATTCCTTCGCAAGCTGTGCGTCTCTCATGTCGGGTTTAGGGCCAGCCTGCAAAGGCTCTGCTGCATGCTCCGTCTCCATGAGAGGCATGCCGTTGACAGAAACATTCGGCCAAGCGCAAGCCGCTCCTTTGACAGGAACGATTCTCAGCCCTTCTTGCTGTTTTCTCGAAGTGAGGTGAGGAAAGTGGGTACAACCTCCCACACAGCTTTGTGGGATGTCTGTCAGGTACACCAACACCGTCGCCACACGCTGGCCAGCAATGAACAAAGAGGCATCACCACCGTGTCCCCAGTCAACGTGCGGCTTGTACAACCTAAGCGGGGCCAAGCACGGCAAAGCTATTTCTATCCATTTCTCTTCAGTTCCCCTAAGTGAGAGCCCGGCTGTCCCGGGCTGTACCGTACCTGACAGGAAAACATGACAGAAAGGCGTGACAGGCTTGAGACTGAAACTGGTAAAGCTGCTTAATTACCTCATCTGGATCTACACCAGCACCCAAACATTACGGTATACAGGAAAAGAAAAAAAGACCTTCCGTCCATTTCGTTCCATTTCAGGGCACCAGTTGTGGGGGCTCCGCGTATTGCGGAGCCAAGCCCACCAGCGCCGCGGCCCGTCCTCGCAGCCTCTGCACCCACGGCCCCGAGGACAAGACCAGGCTCTCCGAGCTGCGGACCTCGAGACCGCGGAGACGGTCGGACGGGTGGCCGAAGCAGGGAGAGGCCGAGGGTCGACCGGAATCGTGTTGTCTGTGTGTGATTTTTTTAAACGTCTATATAAGCTGGTGCGTCTTTCGACTCGAGCCACCATTGGACCAAGAAAAAGAAAGTCTATATAAATAGTCTATACAGATCTATACATCACTGGAGTCTAGCGGGGAGAGTGTCTAGAAAAAAGGGCTTCAGAATACCATGGTATATCCATGCACACGTGCAGGATATGCAAACAGCTTGGTGAGCAGGACTTATTGTAGACCCCTTGTCGCTGGGGGGGAACCAGTCGTTGGGTCCCACGGCTACTTCCCCCCCCATCGGATGAGACCCAACTGCCCCAGCGGATTGAGTCGAGCAACCCCAAGCTCAGAGTTCAATGAGCTGTGAGAAGGTGGGGCAAACATCTGCACAACTATTTCCAATTGGTCATATGATGTCGTATGATATGTCAAGTAGCGGCCCATGAACCTTATTGCTGTGGGCCAATCAGGTAACACTAGCGTAAGTGCCAGAGTCCTAGTTCAACTCGGAGTTCCCTGAGCTTCTGCTCTTGACAGGATGGGAGGTTGCCGAAGTCAGGTTCTTCAACTTGCTGCGCTTCCAACAACGGTGCGTTATTTTCCGAGAGCAACGGGACCCCGGACGGCAGCATCCCCATGAGTGGCTAAGGGGGATGGATTCCAGAAAGCATCCTGGAGAGGTTGAAAACTATGCATGCCTGCTTACCCACATCACTGACAGTCACAGCTGTGACGCGATCTGTGCGAATGCGTGCCTACGGTCCTTGGCTTCAAGTAAAATCTCTGTGATCTCTTCTTCTGCCAACCACTGTGGCAGCCAAAGCAAAGGAAAAGGGGACGAAGCCACGCCTCAAAATCAGAGGCAAAAGTCCTCTGGCGTCGCCCTCCGTTTTCGCTTGTGACGGTGAAGGTCTAGCAGATCCGTCTGAGCGTGTTGGTCTCAGCTAGCGACTCACTGCCGGAAAGCTTTGTCCAGCAGATCCGTCTGCCAGCTGGTTCAAGGCCTGACCAGTGACCAGAAAAAAAGACGGCCTTTTGTGACCTGCTGGTGTTGCGATCTGGTACTGTGCTGTGTAGATCACTGGTGCACCGACTCAACCCAAAATCGAACCTGCCAAACTGCTTGACTATGTATCTGTGAAGCCGTCATCGGTGGCTGGCCAAAGACCTGCCAATGGTGGAATTGCGCGACGTACACGAAACACCTGCACCGGCCATGCCGGCGAGATGAATTCCGGAGTAAACGCAACACCTCAACTATCCTCAACTCCTGTTTCTAGCCATGCTCCCGGCTGGATTGGTGTTCACTGTTCAAGTGGATGTTCACTTCCTACGTTTGTGCCCGCCATGCCTCTTCATGCGGCCTCCCAGCAGCTGCACACATGCACGCAAGGGCATTCCAAACATCAGCCTCGCCCTGACGGACCCGATCCCATCGGCTCAGCTCGCACTGAAAAGAAAAGGAATTGAAAAAAAAGAAAGGGGGGAGTGCGCCTCCCTAGGCGCCCCTTCCCCCCACAGGCCGTGAAAACCGGGACTCGACTCGGGACGAACCAATCCGAACGGTCGGGTCGGGTCGGGGAGGAGTGCTTCAGGTCGGTTCAGGACTTTATTGCTTCTCCATCGATGGGGTCCGTCGCCTGGACCGGGGTCCGTCCGGTCCCGACCAGTCCTGCATCTGGGATCCCAGTCGTGAAGCTGCGGAACGAGCAACTGCATCTGCTATGTTCCGCGCCTTTCGAAGGCTTAGCTGAACAAGAATGTCAAAACTACAAAGCCTTAGTTGAAAGTCGAAAATACAGTGAAGATCATTGAACAACCAATTGTAGAACATGGTTGATGAAAAGACTAGTTACTAGTTGACTGCTGATTAACATGGCATCCTATATTGGACGTTCAGCATTCAAAAACATTAAGTACTTCCCAGCTGCATGTGACTGCCGAACATGCGCACATGTTCATGCTAACAAATTCGTGTTACACGAGTTTGATAGCTTGATTGATTGCTTGCTTGCTTGCTTGATTGATTGATTGAGTAGATCTTCGTACATTGCAACTGATTGTGTGTGGTGGCAACGACACGAAGAGCCCTTTTGGGGTGCTCACAGCCAAGCAAGTATCCACAATGGTACAAGCCCAAAGAGTCTCCAGTGACTCCAGGTGCAACACCCACTGACTTCAGATGGTCGCATGTGAAACGTGATCGGCTTGAAGCAATGCCTCACATGGCATGAAGCATCGACCTCAAGTCCTCCCCCCTTGCATGATGGGCTCAATTGACACATTCATTGACATGTCCTTGCTTGCAATGCTGGGAAACTTGTGGCACCTTGTCCCTTGATGCCTAGCACTGTTGGGACTGGGCACCCATTCTATTCCCTCGCAGCCTTCTGCCGCGATGCATGCAGCCTTGCAGTCTGCGAGAGAAGAATCACCAGCAGGCATGGGATCTCCTCGAACATCAACTCCGTTTTGATCCCTGCATGACTGATCAAAGGTGGCAAAAGTGTTCCGGCAGCCGTTTCTGATGTAGCATTGAGCACCACGGTATCTTCCTCCTCCCTGCATGATTGGATTGGTTGACGTGCCAGTACTCTGCGTGCCAGGGTATTTGTGGCAATCCATTCCATCATGCCCTTCCGTGTCGGGATACCATTCTATGCCATCACAATCATCCATTGCTGCACATGCCTCCTTGCAGGCTTCCAGTGTAGAAGCTGGTAATGGATCTGCAGGGACATCAATCCCTGCAAAGTCCCTGCAATAACCCTCGAAATGTGTAAACTCGGCTGTTATGAAGCAATGCCGCACGTGGCATTCACCATCTCGATAACTTCCTCCTCCTTGCAGAATCGGGTTGTCTGCTGTGCGTGGCCACCCATCAAAATTTGGAACAGGATTTGTTGCTGGAAACTTGTGGCACTTCACATCTGAGTATGCGTAGCCGTAGGTTTCATCGTACCATTCTATTCCCACGCAGGCTTCTGTAGCGATGCATGCAGCCTTGCAGTCTGCGAGAGAAGAATCACCAGCAGGCATGGGATCTCCTCGAACATCAACTCCGTTTTGATCCCTGCATGACTGATCAAAGGTGGCAAAAGTGTTCCGGCAGCCGTTTCTGATGTAGCATTGAGCATCACGGTATCTTCCTCCTCCCTGCATGATTGGATTGGTTGACGTGCCAGTACTCTGCGTGCCAGGGTATTTGTGGCAATCCATTCCATCATGCCCTTCCGTGTCGGGATACCATTCTATGCCATCACAATCATCCATTGCTGCACATGCCTCCTTGCAGGCTTCCAGTGTAGAAGCTGGTAACGGATCTGCAGCGACGTCAACCCCTGCAAAGTCTCTGCAATATCCCTGGAAATGTGTAAATCCTCCTGTCGTGTAAACAGGGCTGTCTGCAAAAGCACACAGAAAAGAGGTCTGTGCGACAACGGCAACTCTTGCTGCGGCCATGCATGAAGCAATCCAGGTGATCACAACGACCTAACTACCGTCTGAAAAGCATGCAAACAATAAATACAAACAGTTCGTAGAGTCATGTGCACTTTGGAGAAGGTGTTCACCAAGGTTAGCTTAACCCACCACCCAAATGATCTTCCGCCGACTCTAACAGGAAAAGGAAGTTGTCATTGTTGAAGTTTTCTCATCACGAAGTTTGCTGAAGTAGCATCCGTTGTTGTCATTTTCCACTTGAGTTTGAATGCTGCAACGGCATAGGTCAAAGGGTGTTCCGGTGTTCCCGAGAAGCCACGGCAACCAATCCGCCCCGGCCTCCTGATCGGAAGAGCCTGCCAAGCGGCAAGCAAAAGTTACCCTTCGCCAAACGAAAGAGAAACAAACATCAGTTATATACCCCATGCCATATTTCTGGAGTCCAAAACGCTGTGTCAATGCAACAATAGACTCTGCGTCCACAGCTTCCAGGGTTCTGGACAGGGCCAAAATGAACGGCACTCTGTGCTGGGCCATTAGTTTGCTCTGAGGGAAACAATAGTTATACCAGCATAAACACCAAACCGTTTCAGCATCATGTTTTTTTTCTTCATTTCCTGGAATTCAATCGTTGGTTGAAAAGTCTGCAACTATATTCCTATGGCCTCCAGCTGTTTGGGGACAGCATGTAAACAAAAAGGGCCCGCGGCACCCTCCGAACAAAGCCTGGAAAGGGCCCAGACAAGGCGGAGAAGACCAGAAAACCCACGACGCGGCGAATCACGAAGGAGATACAGACCCGGACAGCGCGGTGGTCAGGAAGGGCGGACAGCGCGGGCGCGGCCATCGTGGCCAATCCACACAGTAAACTGTTTTTGGGAACTGCTGCTGGGCAAGCGTCCGAACGCTCCTAGTAGCGATGCCAGGAGCCCTGTTCGTAGCGTCCTGAGCCCCTAGTAGCTTCTTTGCAATTGATGTTTTGGGGAACTGTAGGATGCAAAAGGATTCACCAGCCGCCTGCCATGATGGCTTGTGCGACCTGTAGCAAAGCCCAGAGTCCATCCCTGACACGGGATGTCAAATCGGACTCAGACTCAAGCTCCATCGGTCCATCATCCATTGCCTTCGAATGCATCATGTGCAATTGTGCATGTCTTTATCTCCTCCCTTTCTGTCAGTTCACCTTTCGGCAACCAAGCAAAGTCTGGCCTTGGCAATTTGTGCGCAGTGACCAGGTCTTTCTTTCAAGTGACTTGTAGGAGTTGAACAATCTCCAACAGGAGAGAGTAATTGATGTAGACTCTTGATGAAGAAAAAAGACTTTTGTGGTGTGGTTTTACAATCCGTGTCTGGGCGGTTGAATTATCATCAAAGGTCTACCTTCGACTCAATCGTCTCCACTCTGCTCCGCTTTCTTCAGGCCCGAACGCCAAGAGTCGAGTTGGCCAAGTGCGCCTCGTGCAAAACGTCCGAGTCCTTTTGAATCAGAAAGTATACATATGTATGTTTGCATATATATATATATATGTGTGTGTACAAGTTCCCCACACACTAAGGGTTCTTACGGTACTAGAAAAGCAGCTGATTCTTAGATCACTGAAGCGCGCGGGCGTGACCGGCTAATTCGCTGCTAGTTGCAGTGCATTCATGCCTCTCGACATCGTCAATGCGCATTTCGACTGCGCAGGCTCGCCAAGTCTCGGGTGCTTCTAGCGACTGCGCTCTCGTTGTGGTGCCGCGCGCATTTTCGCACATGGTGGTGACTTCTCGGAAACTGCTCCAAAGTCGACTTTCCGTGACCGGCCCAAGGGATCCGAGCGGTTTTACTTCGAAATGCAGTTTTCGTGGCAGGTGCAGCACTTTGGACATGGTGGTGATCAGATTTCGTGACAGGTGCAGTGAATCGTGACTTTTGGACATGTGGCTCGTTTGCAGATTTCGTGGCAGCACAGCACTCTGTGACCCTCGATGTGCAGATTTCGTGGCAGGTGCAGTACTTTGTGAACCTCGAAGTGCAGATTTCGTGGCAGGCGCAGCACTTTGTGAACCTCCATGTGCAGATTTCGTGGCAGGCACAGCACTTGGTGAACCTCGAAGTGCAGATTTCAGCGCAGGCTCACTCTCACTCTCACTCTCTCACTCACTCACCACCTTCACTCTCACTCACACTCACTCTCACTCACACTCACTCTCACCCACACCCACTCTCACTCACACTCACTCTCACTCTCACTCACACTCGCACTCACACTCACACTCACTCACTCTCACTCACTCTCCCACACTCTCACTCTCACTCTCACTCTCACTCTCACTCACACTCACTATTCCCCACCACCGCCACCGTCACCACGATCCCCACCTTCATCACCATCACCTCTCTGGACCCCAATGCGTCTAGATCTCTAGACTTTCTGCTTATAGACCTCACACACACTGTTTGGGGTCTCTTGCCGGGATAATATATGTTGTTTAAACGAATACACAATGTGTTAGTGTTGTGTATATATATATACAAATATTTTACAGTGGTTTTCATGTTGTTACTTGGTTGTTGGATTATATTCGTTCAACGCGGCAGTGACACCACCCACGGTCGCCACGGTTGACCGATCAGCGCCTCGCAGCTGGTGGCATGGAATCCTGCGAGGTCGAGCGGCCCGGCGGCGGCCCACTGGCCGTCCATCCATTTGGGTGTGTAGTTTCAAGAGGCAGACCCTCTGGCCCTGGCTGGGTAGACTTTTAAGGGGGTTGAAAAAAAAAGGAGGTCTCCCCCAAAAGAATAGTTTTATTCCTCATCCGTTTGAGGATTTGGGACGTAGCTTAACTTGGATTCTGCGAAGCTTGGCCAAGTCCTTGGCATTGACGCTCAGGCTGCTCAGCTTGCAGCATCTCCGCCATGCTTTCTCTAGTCAAACGACATGCTTGTCCAGGAGTCTAAAGAATGGGGCGCGAATCTCAAGGACCGGAAATTGCACTAAGTCCTTGAGAGATCCTTCGTTGCCACACAGAATTGCAGTTGCCTTTTCTGATTGTGTTCCTGCCATGTGCTAAGCGCTTCAAGGCAACAGAAGGAGAAACTCTGCAACAGTCTCGATCGACTAGACTGGCTCAAGAAGAGCACACACGCAACTGCATGCTCTTTAAACCTCTTTTGCTCCAGATCAAGGCGTTCAGGCATGATCGTCATGTCATCCTGGGCATTCAGTCTGGAAGACAACCCCACTCCACAAACAACCACATGGGTCTGGTCCGAACGAACCAAAACCCTTCGTTGTAGAAGAATGGTCTGCAAATGTTACGTCCAAAGTCCATGTGTTGCAACTTCCGACTCTGGTGGATTGGCACAATCCTCAGACTCTGGTGGCTTTCCAACAAGGATCCCATCCAAAAGCCAACATCGTTTTCGCGGACCCCGCCACGTCGACCTCCGACCAGGACCGGCTGAGCTTCCGACCCTTCGGAGCAGCAACGAAGGGGGAGAGTCTCCCAAGTCGTCCTGGTGGCGAAGTCAGTCGTCCGCGTTCGACGCCTTCCAAGTGGGAGAGTGAGTCTTCCAAGTCTTTGGGCAACTGACATGAGGCCTCGCAGGTCCGTCGACTCCTATCCACAAAGACGATGCGATGCCGGTGAAGCCAATTCCGAGAACACCACGAACCGTCGGAGATGAAGACCCACTGGCTGCTGTACATCTTGTCCCGCAGAGTGGGATGTCCAATGTGCGCCAAATGACTCCTGATCTGATGCTTGCGCCCCGTGAGAATCTTCACCAGCAACAAGCTGAAGCTGGTCACACCACCCAGGTACCCTGAGACGCTCAGCGCTGTTCTGCTGAGTTTTCCACGTCCTCCCGACCGCGTGGGCTGGTCCCTCAGGCTGCAGGTGCTCGCATCGACGTGTTGGACGGAGGTGGGAAGCCAGCCATGGCAAAGGACGGAATACTCACGAGAGATCTCGCCACTGTGTAGCTGGACTTGGAGGTCATAGAAGGCTTCATATGTTCGTGCCTCTAAGATCAGCCCTGAGCTGGGCACGTCCAGTCGGTGCAGAAAGCCAAAGTTGTGTTTTTCGTCTCTCAAAATGGGGATGGTCTCTTTGGATGCTTCCAAACTGATGACATAATCCTTTAACTGACGGAGTCCTCCGTGTCCTCCAAAAACCTCCCACCCCGCAGGCTTCATCCAAACACACCGATCCTCCAGCCGCGCCGCCGTCTCGCTCGACGCTGCCAGGAACGGCGTGTAGGTCTCACGCCGCGCAGTGTCGAGGCGTCGGCCCTGGTGGCGCAGGGAGGCCGAGGCACTTCGTCGTAAACGGGAGGAAGGACAGCCAGCCATGGTGCAGGAAAACAAGATCGACAGCAGCTCCTGCCCTTGGAAGTCCGAGTCCAGCACTGGCATTCTTGGGGTCCTGTCGATGGAGTCACTTCGCTGAATCCACTGCTCCGCGGCGTTTTGGGCTGCAAGCTGGAAACGAGTGGAGCAAGCTGAAAGGTCCCCAGACAAGCCCACAAGGGCCATGCTGAGATCTTCGAGGCCAAATTCGGAGATGTGCTCGAGAGCGGCTGATGCTAAAAAGCTGTGCCTGCAGCGGAGACCTAGGGTCGTTGCTGACCACAAACAGCGCGCCAAGTCACTTGCAAGAGTTGTGGCACCGAGAGTTCTTCTCAGTGCTAGATTAGTTTCTAGATGCGACACTGCGTCTGCGAAGGCATTGTGGATGACTTCAGGTTCAGAAATGCTCAGTGTGGCCAAGCTCCACAAAAAAGGAGATGGGATCTCTAAGAAAGGCAGACTCCAATAACAGTTCCATCGCCAAATCTTCATTGCCCAAACATGCCAGCATCACTGAGTCCCACGAGACAACAGATGGTAGAATCAAGCTACTGGACATGGAGTGTACCAGGTCCAAAGCAACTAGCCATTGTAGCCCAGCCCCACACGTATTTATGGCTGTGTTGTACAAAACCTCATTAGCCTGTAGCTTCTTGTCCAAGGCATCTGCAAACAAACCAAGAACCTGATCCCATTGGCTTCCTTCAAAGGCAACCATGGCAGATGCAAATGTAATCACATCCACTTTGCGGCCATCCATTTCCCCAGAACCAAGAAGACTTAAAGCTCGTCTCCACTGCCCGCTTTGCCCAAGAGACTTCATCACTGCATTAAAGGTAACTCCATCTTCTTTCAAGCCAAGCCGTGCGAGCCGCTCCCAAAGAATAAAAGCAAGCTCCCACCTTCCACACTTGGCGCATGCACTAATGGCAGTGTTATATGTGACAACATCCACCTGTACTCTCTGCTGTTCGCTTTGGCAAAGCAAGCATAAGGCGATCTCCCATTGGTTTCCCTGTTCACAAGCACTTAGAACTGTCGTTAGCAACTCAACATTGCATGTTCGTTGCCTATTCAACGAAAGGACTTGGACTGCACGTGTCCATTCAGAAGCTTTTCCAGTTGAACTCGCCAAAGCTTGGCAAGTGCGTGAGTTGCTCTGTAGCTTGGCATTCTCTAAGTGACTCAGCTGCTGCAACGCAAGTTGCCACCTCCAACCCCTTTGTTGCTCCGCAACGGATAAGCTCGTGTTGTAAATCACCATGTTGGCCTCAATCTGGCGCAGTCGCATCTCGTGAAACAAGGATTGCTGCCAAACACTCAAGCAACTCGTGGCGATGCCATAAGAAACTGCGTTGCCCTGGATGCTGCAGATCCATGCCGACTCAAGCAAGCAGAGTGCATGTTGCCAGTTCCCAAGCCTCCCACAGCTCATCCCAGCACTAAAAGAGATGATGTCTGCCTGCAAATTCTCACAACTCAATTTGTGCATCAACGAGAGACCGCGTTGCCATCCATCCAGGGTGTTGCAAGCACTTTCGCATGAGTTATAAATGATTGCGTTGGCTTGAACTGCCTTCTGCGCCAACCCTGCAACCAAAAACAAGCCATGTTGCCACTGACGGCTTGTAGCATCAGCGGCAAGCACAACTCCGACTCCGCGAATATGTTCTAAGGACATGTTCCTTGAGTCAAAGAATTGCATAATACTCAAAGAATGATAAAACACTTGGTATCCACAGGCACACTCAATAAACACGCCGAAACCGACAAGCCACACACCTGTCCTCAAGTTGGTTGAATTTCGTCAAATTCTGAGCCCTTGTCATCAGTTGGGATTCAAGAAACAAATGTGTCATTGGTGGACCAATTCAACTGGTATACTTTGTTACTACCTGTTACATACCTCCAACTACAATGGTGGGACACTGTTATAGATACCAAAAGTGTAGTAGGTGGGGGTCTTGTACTGCCATAGTCGAAATCACCCATCGTCCTGAAGAGGCCGTCATATCACAAATGTCACAGTCAGGTTCTAAGCTGTCGCCTGGTTCTGGCCACTACGGATCTACCCAATTTGGATCGATACTTCTTTGGATCTATCATGATTCCATAAGATTGTCAGTCGTTTCTACTGTTTAAGATGTACAGTGTCAGTCCTGTATATACATTGATTCATTGATGTTGTCTGGGTTTCAATCGCTTGGGAAGGACAGTAATGTTGCGAGGGTGATCTTACTATGAAATAGCTCCCACCCACCCGCTTCCAAGAGGTCCAGTATGTTGCAAGCCATGAAACAGGGCTTTCAAAGAAAGGTGCAGGCCTGCTTGATATTCCTATGGATTCCCAAAAAAATGGATCTCAAACACGACCCATCCTAGACGTGCGACTCGCCAAGTGCCAAGACGGGCAGCCGATTGGAAGCCTGGAAGAAATCCTTTTTCTCTCTGCTCCAGTCGCTGTTGCGACTGCAGAGGTGCTGGGCAGTCGCATCAGTGCCACATCAGTGCGGTTCTAAATAGGGCGGCGTGCGAGTTCTAAATCCTTGCACTCGGCACATGATGTATCACTGCTGACTGCACAAGTCGGTCTTTCAAGAGTAGCCGCGACCACTTTTTGGCCCCTACACAAGCTGGTAGTGCAGAAGAGAACGGGTTTTTGACGAGCTTTCTTCACGAAGCCAATCACAAGTGTTCAATTGAAGTGACTGAAGCCCTTTTGGTACAGTATGCTGCCTAAGAGCTTCTATGTTGGACCCCTTAGGAACACAATAGCATTGCAAAAACCATATGCAAAACCCAACGGATTCTGTGTCAATTCGGTGGTAGAACCCAACGGATTCTGCACCTCACCAGCAACAGTTCGTCGCTGGTTCGGTGCTCCAGACTCCTTTCGACTCTCTTTCTCCACCAGGAGCGTTCGGCTTCGGGCCGTTCATCTGTGAACAACTTCAGTCCGCCAGTCCATCACTGTGGCTTTACCTCCTCAAACTTGGAGCTGGAGTTGCTCGAAGGACCAGTGCTGCCGCTGGAGCTCTCGGGACTGCTCTCGGTGTCCTCCGGCACCGCGTGGTGCGCATGGTCGGGCGAACGCTGCGGAGACCGACCCCCGAGATCTCGGTCCTTAGAAGTCTTGGCCGTCTCCTCAACCTGTTTGGAACTGAATCTGTGGGGCTCCACGCATGCTTGTCACGGCCGGAAAGCAAGCTGGTTTCATCTGAAGTGTCCAAAACCAGAGTTCCATCGGAATCTACAAGAACTGTACAAAGACTTGAATCTGTTTTGAGTCACCCCGGTTCATGTCTCGCCTTGGGCTCGCTGCTTCGATACTCGCCTTTGGCCTCGGCAAACGGCCTAACTCCGTTTGAAAGCGACTGCTGTTCTGATGTGCACGGACTGCTGCTCTGCAAAATACGTAGGGTCTACACTCCCTGAAATAGTCGTTCAAGTGGAAAAGCCTCTGTTTGTAGAGAAAAAACGGTGATCATCCGATGTTTCAGGGAGCGTAAACCCTGTGTCTATGTCGTATAATTAACTTTCTTATGCTTCATCTTGAAAGGTTTCTTGCGGTGCTCACATTGACTCTACGGTCTCGCGCATAGTCATAGCCAGCTCCCTGGTAGACAAACATCTCCAGAACCTGCAACGGGAATCCGTTAAGGAAACGGCACAACGCTCCTTGTTTGAACGAACGAGCAACGGCTGTCTTTTGTGCCAATCCAATTTTGATCCGACTCAAACAGCTTTGTTTTTGGTGTAAGGAAACGACATCCTCCACCCGCCTTGTTTAGCCTGGACATCAAAACGCGTGGATCATCCAATGTGCCAGCAGCGATGCAAGCGTTGTCGTACAACTGCTCCACCTCAAAAAAAGCATCCACTTCGCATTCGGGGCCAGGGCGGCGTTTTCGTGGACCACTCGGAAGCCAACTGCTATCCTTGCCACTGGCTCGTTGGACTCCAAAATCACTTGGAGCCTCACAAGTGAGAAAAGCTTTACAAAACTTCAGCACCTTTGAGGAAAGCTCCAACAAATCTCAACCTGGCATGGGATTTGGGGGAGGCAAAAAATGCGTGGCATGGCTTCACAGCCAATTTGGCCTGATTCTACACGCGGCATAGCAGCGCAGCTTCCGATCGCGGCTCCCAATCGCGTCGGGCTGGGGGCACCGACGTGGTGACGATGTGGTGCTTTGGGCTGAGCTCCAGTGTCATGGGGATGTTGTTACTCAGCAGTGTCAGCAGTGTGTCATGCAGCTGCAGCTGATCAGATCGATATTATGCATCAGACTTGGAATCTGATGTTGAAAATCACAGGCTGGTGAGATCCAATCACTCTCACCTGCTTTTGCAGTAATGAAAAACTCTCTTGGTTCCCAACAAGCCATCGTTTTCCTGCACAAGCTCCACCAAGGAAACTACAAAGAACGAAATCGGCCTTTGAAGCATCTACTAGCGAAAAAGAACTCGGAGCTCCTTTCCAGCCATTAAGCTTTTCATCATCTTGCGCATATGCGGGGTGATGATGCTGGTCCTGATTTCTGCACTCCGTTGCGGTGCCGACTCATGCTCTTCATGGCAGCCAAGCCAGTTCTGCTCTAGTTATCTATATAAAGCTACTCTTAAGCACGTAAGCCAGCATCTCACTAGACACCGAATGTAGCGAGCCAGATGTTCACCAACCGCTGGCGGGCTCCCCACACAATGGCTGGCGAGCTCACCAAACGATCCGAAAACTTCACCTCTTGCACCTCCCAAACGGGCGAAGCGACTCTTCGGACGGCCAACGGGCGGTGAAGCGTTTCACAGCTGTGAAACAGCTGGATAAACAATCGATAACAGCATGATCATGGTGAATACCTGGGGATCTGGGGGAGACAGTCGGGAAAGGTGACAGTCAGCACCAGCAGCAAAAAGCAAGAACACAAGATTGTCATTGCGCCTTCTCCTTCAAGACACTTTTGATGAACTTCTGCATCTGTGTTTGTTCCTCTTCGGTGAGAACACGCTTGTCCTGAGCATGGGTGCAGTGAGAACACTTTCGGGTTGCCATCCAAGCGAGAAGTTCGACCGCTGTCGCCTTGCGACCGCTTGCGCCAGCGGCGTCGAAACAACGTGGTCAGCATTCGCACCACCCGAAGGGGCCAGGGGCCAGGGGGGGGTTGGACCGGACCTTGCGCATCTTAGACCCGGAAGGATTGCACAGGTCTGCAGTGGCTTGGCAGTGCCAAGCGTCGGTATCTTCAGGTTCTTCAGGCTTGTCCAAGTCTAGCCTCGGGCGCCCGAGTCGCCAATCAGACATGCACTGAAGCACCCGAGTCAGCAAGTGTGCAAACAGGGCAGAATGGGGTTGACGCTCGAAATTCTTGTCGGCGGAATCCACGGAAACAAACTTCTTGTCCTCTGGAAAGGTCTATTTTTTACTCAAATGTTGTCCAAAAGTTACGTTGTCCTTGAAGCCTTCGATGGCATTGACCTCCATCGAGGGCGGGGAGGTGTCAAATCACAAAGGATGTCTTGCGCCACATCTCCCTTTGCCACATCTGTCAAAGAAACATGCCAGCACTGCAACAAATTCATCGATGTCTTCGTACATCAGAATGACATTGCGCCTTCCGCAATCAAACCATTCAGCTTGAATTTCAGGATACCGGCGACCAAAAGGCGTCTTAGTTGGCGACTGTCGCTGGAGAAACCTCAATTTATTTCAAGCTGAAGATGCCCAAGCGAGACGTCACTCTGGGGGTCTCTGAAGATGTTGAGAAAAGCCCATGTTCATTCTCCTTCTGCAAAGACCGAGAAGCTGCTCCATATACGGAGAAGACAGGCCCGTCTGGCGGTCGGGACCTCGGTTTCGTGAATGGCCCATGCTGCAGAAGATTCCAAGGCAATGGCAAGTGGCAGGTGAAATAGTAGATGTTCTGCTGGCCATCCTTTGCCATCTCAATGTACTCCTGCTTCCCATGTGCCAAATTGGCATGCAGTCTGGAAAAGACTCTGCCAAGCGGGATGTCCCTCCTCCAGGGAAATCAGCTCACCTTTTCCCTTGTTGGAGCACCTGACTGCAAAGGAACAAAGGACTGCTTTTGCTCAAAAGGGCTTTCCACCTTCAAGTCCTATTTTCCGACTTGTGACTGGGTGTCCAGCTCAAAGCGAAGCAGTTTGAGCAAGTCGTCTTTGTGGCCTTTCCGCTCGCCGTGCGCGCGCTCGCTGCACGGAGCGCACGTCCACCGGAAGGGGCCGGACGGCTGAAGTTACCCTCTTTGTCTTCTATGAGGCCAGCCTCACAAGCGTCACAGGCGCTGAAAAAGAAGCGTTCTGAGTTGCCCAGCCTTCAGAAAGTAAGAGTAGCCTCTGAAGAACTTCTGATATTTTTCAGGATCCTTCTTTGCCTTGGCAAAACCGCATTCACATGCACACAACCCACACCGCATTCACATCGGACGTCCACCAAATCCAGATCCAGCTTGGCCTCCTGTTGGAGAAATCTCAGAATCCGCCTCACCACAGCCATGCTCAACCTCAGCGGCGGCTGCGGTTGAGGACGGGTGGTCGCCTCTCCCAAGTAACAAGCTGGTAGTAGCCTCAAAACTTCAAAAAGCTTCTTTTGAGATGAGATTTGTGTTGATCAGGGGTAGGGGTGGTAGAACTCTGATGTGACGATTGCAAGCTGCAATGTTTAAGTGCACTGTGTCTTGCAACCCCGAACTGCCTCAGTGCGCACCCCGAAGATGAAGTTTTTCTTTGCCAGAAAACAGTTCAGTCGTAGACATCTTCAACATACTGGGATTCTGGCTTCTCCATTAAGCGTGTATCCTGCATGCTCTCCCGACTAATGTTCCTCGGCGTAGCAAGGGTCACGCAGCCAACTAGTAACTAGTGGACGTTGGCTAAGAGGAGTTCATGGGCATGTCCTCACAATCGACAATGCCCTGGCAGGAGACCGACGGACACTAGGGAGACAGGTGTGGCTTCTGACAAACAGCTGCTGATTGATTCTCCGAAAACGCCTTCATCCAATGCAGCCACTTTGGAATCACACCATCGGCATGCTTCTTCACCATCACCCGTCGAGAATGCAAAGAGATCTGAGCATGTACGCAGTCAGCTCGCCCGTCAGCTTCCAGTGAACGATGAACAAGATGAACTGGGTGCCCTGCACCAATTTCTGGATCTTTGGTGAACATACGGCTTGGCGCGTTGTCAGGATCCGGGATATAAAAGCAACCTCGGCCAAGCAAGTGCTTGGCATGTTTTGTGAAAGCTTGCCAAACGTGAGCTCCTGGATGTTTTGCTGATGTGAGCTCCAGTTGCCGAAACAATGGACATCCCTACTGCACCTTGTTCTGGGTCCAAGCGGCTTTTGATGGAGAGAGGGGCATCGGTTTGGTACATCCTCATCAAGCTGCAACAAGCGACATCCAGCAAGTAGTAGCAAGAAGCTACTAGGAGCAAAGGGCATCGCCACTAGGAGCAAGGACGCTACTAGGTTGGAGACCAGCATCAACAGCTTAATCTTGCAGTTTCGAAGAAATGAGGCTGCTGCAATGTGTACCAAGGCTTGCCATAGGAGTTCCCGCTCAGAAAGCGGAAGAACCTGAACATCAAGCTGCAAAGTAAAGGACTCTGACTCTGAACGTCATGGTGTATTATCACACGCATCAATCTTACAGAGTGCAAAGTTAGCACATGCTCGGATCATGAAAGTGAGCAAAACATTCTAGAGTGGGCTTCGGATGGAATCGACATCTATCGAAATTGGTGTCGCTTGTGTCGCGGCAGCAAGGAACAAATGCAGCTGTGCCCTTTCAGCCCTTTCATACTCATGACCGTCGGGTCGCTCTAAACCTCTTTCGCTTTTAGAAGGCTCTTGGTCTTGTGAACTTCATGCATCTGCTTGCAATGCTTTGGTCTGGAACTCGTCTTGTCCTGAAAAAAATGGAGGTCAATGCACTAAGACTAAACGCAGGAAGGGCTGACGGCTAAAGGGGATGATAGTGCCAAGAATTGGTCTATTGAACAAGAAAACTGGACAAGTAAACCATACCCGACCTTCGGCAGGGGTGATACCTGGGTTACCGGAGTGTAGGTGGGTCCCTTTCTTGGGATCGGTCAGGATGGGTGGGCCAGAGCTGCAAAGCGATGCGATGGTACCACAGGTCCACGGAACCGTTGGAGGTTGAACAGCTTAGCAGCTGTTTTCTCCTTTTGTGCCAGGGGGATGGCCATGCCTCACCATGGATATGTGAAGATTCGCGTCGAGGGATGCACGCAAAGCCTGGCATGTTTTGGATTTGGATTGCTTGGTTGTGAAGCACGTGCCATACGCCAGGCACGCTTGCATGTCAAGGAATAGAACCCCCCCGGCACCGAGGCAAAAAAAAACATATGACTTGTCGTTTGATGACCACCATGTGCACACAAGTTCTCTAATGCGTGACGCCTATGACCCATTGACTTCGCTGCCGTGACTGCTCGAACGCCATGCGTTCGTTGCGGCCGTGACTGGTGATTTTTCGCCGCACCGTTGGACGTCTTCACGCGTTCCCGTGCACCGTGTCGTGCTCCCGTGCTGAATCCGAATAGCAAGTTAAGCGACTAATGGATCCATTAGGAGCCCTTCTGCGTTCGGATGGGCAATCTCTGATTGGCTTCAGCCACAAAGATGTGCCAAAAGAACGTTTCGTTGTTCTGGCCGATTGAATCGCGCGTGTTTTGTCCTATGAAATCCCAAGTAAGCAAGAGCACGGCTTCGATGGCAGCTTCCCCAACACCCCCCGGAACCATTGGGCAAAATGCAGCCGCACCCGCAGGAAAAAATAGAAAGGATGGACTGGGAACCTCAATGGATCATAAAGTAGAAGCGGGTGTGTGTGTGTGTGTTAACACCTGTTCCTAAGGTTTGTGCCTAGTCGGTTTCTAGAGGGCTGGTTGCTCTTGGCCTTGCTACTAGGAACTAGAGGTTTCTAGAGCCCCAGAGCTCGCCACTACTTGAGCACGAAGAGGCAGGGATGCGGAAAAAAAAGCAGGGGCGTACGGCTCGTCATACCCACCGTACGCAAGGAAGCTACGGTATGACGAGGGAGGGGTGGACTGATCATCCACCTGTACCTGCTTAACTTTTAAGCTTTGCTGGAGCAGTCTTGCATAAACATTGTTCAACAATACAATTGCGCCGACTCTTTCACCTTTCCGTTCCATCGCCATTTTCTCCTGGGAATTGAGTTAACTGAAAACCAATGTCAGGGTGTGAACCGCTCAGCCGTCCCACTTGGGTGCTGGGTGTGATCCCCGTGACAGGGGCGCTGAATTCATGCTGGAAATCGTGTAACCGACTTATTCTGTCCACCACTTCTGGAGTTTCATAACAGCTTTCGTTTCACCACTGAATTAACTGCCTTTCGAGCCGCCGGGCTAATACGGTTACCACCCTTCGACTACTGAACCTTCTCGCATGCTGCTAAGTATTCACTTCTCCACGTCATGCTGCTAAGTATTCACAGGCCAGGTTCGGTCGACTGTGACTTTCGGACGACTTCGGGTTTGCTCGAGGCTTTAGGTTTAGGTAAAGAGTTGCTCGAGGTCTTTCAGGTTTCAGGTGAAACTGTTGCACCTTTTGCGACCGAGCGGAGGGAGGGTTCGGCACGTGAACGACTAAGTAATCTTTTCTGGTTCTTTTGGTTTTTCTTTCCTGCTGTTGCCTTTCGTTTTCTCGAGGCCTTTCTTTAGGTTTCAGGTGCCTTTCAGACGGGTTGCGCCGGCCCAAATCGGCTTTACTTGAATGCCAATGATGGCAATGCCTTCGGGGTTTTTTTTCCCTCCCTACCCCAGGCCTGTGTTGCTATCCCACCCGCTATTCGGGCAACAGAAGGAAATCGCACTCAACACACTTGTGTGTTGGTGCCTTTCCTTCTGTTTCCCCTAGGCCCTATCCTATTGCTAGCTACCCAAGCGGTTTAAGACAAAAGTCCCGCTCGCGAACTACTTTCATTTAACTAAGTGGGCCTCGTCACTATACCTTTCTTTCTTGCCCTCTTAGTCTGCTCTTGTTTTGTTTTCTTTGACTGTCTTTCTAAGGCTCTTTAGGTGACTAGTAGTCTTTTGGAACGCCAATATTGGCGTTATGCGTACAAAGCCGTTGCCAACAGACAGAGCGCCGAACGCGGCATCCTGTGTGTGTTAACACCTGTTCCTGAGGTTTGTGCCTAGTCGGTTTCTAGAGGGCTGGTTGCTCTTGGCCTTGCTACTAGGAACTAGAGGTTTCTAGAGCCCCAGAGCTCGCCACTACTTGAGCACGAAGAGGCAGGGATGCGGAAAAAAGCAGGGCCGTACGGCTCGTCATACCCACCGTACGCAACGAAGCTAGGGTATGACGAGGGAGGGGTGGACTGATCATCCACCTGTACCTGCTTAACTTTTAAGCTTTGCTGAAGCAGTCTTGCATAAACATTGTTCAACAATACAATTGCGCCGACTCTTTCACCTTTCCGTTCCATCGCCATTTTCTCCTGGGAATTGAGTTAACTGAAAACCAATGTCAGAGTGTGTGTGTGTGTGTGTGTGTCCACACCTGTGCCTAAGGTTTTGCGTCACAAAGGACGCTACTAGGGGCTGCTGGCATCGCTACTAAAAGCAAGAACTGTACTACTGCGGGCTCCTGGCCGTAAGGCTACTAAGGCGAATCGGTTGATGGTCCAGCAGGGGGGGCAACGGCCAGTCTTCTTACGTTGCCCAACGAAGCTACAGAAGACTGGCGGAAGCTTTCAGGACACCTGAATGTGTACCTGCCAATTTTTAACTCGACTCCTCATGTTTCACCTATGTTCAACCATTCTGTTGATCTGACCCAGCACTTCATGCCGTTTTGCAAGTCAAGGTCTAGTCTGCAGCTGGTATTGTAGTCACTAGAGTGGGACTTCAATCATGAACTCTTGCGAGCAACTCTCCAAGTGTGTGTTTAACGTTGCCAGGCTGGGATGTTTGACTATGGTATGATTTGGAGATATTTTTCGGCGGTATGAGTCGTGCAGTGTGAAGACTAAAGTACAGTAGTAGCATTTTCAGAGGGTATGCTTCGGGGTATGCCTTCGGGGTATGCTTCGTCTAAGTCGAACATCCCAACCCTACATACACTGGACACGTTAAAAAAATACAAACCCAAGTGAACAGTTCCTCTCAATTTCGTGAAGGCCTGCTTCTCCACATGTTTTTTTTCATGTGTTCAGAGCAAAAGGTTTATGTTTCAGCCTTGTGCAAGGCTCCGTGCCAAGCTCTGAGGTCTTCACTCAAGGTGCTGCTCTTCCGTTGCAGAGCTCTTCATCCAAAGAGCCTCGGCGGACTCTCCAGGTCTTGGTCCCGACCAACACACGACCCTTAGAGGACACGTGAAGCCACACCTCCTGCTTATTGATGGGCTTGGGCTCTCCTTCCTGACGCTAGGCCGCTAGGGCTGGTTCAACGAAAAGAAACGTCACGTTTCATCTGCCCCATCTGCCAGCCTCTGTGACATAAATCGGAAAATCGATAAAGGACGAAAACCTCATCACATGCCGCCCTCGCATGCCACCGCGGCTTTAAAAAAAGGAAAAGAAAAAAAACATGCATTAAGCTGCCAGCTTTTGAGCTGCCTTCTTCACCGTCGCCTGACAAAAAAGAACAGTGTTGCCAACAGCTGGTCGACAGCCACGTGGATCGTTCATGCCGCCCCGGTTCTCCACTTCCACCCCCCCCACCAGTTTCGAGAACTCCGTGGCGTCGTCCTTGAGCGTTAACCTGAGTCGCAAACGAAAAAAACAGGTTAGTTTGAAACGAAAAAAGCAACGTGGAGGTGTTTTTTAGAGACTTCCCATGAGGTAGATGTGTGATGGGCGATTCCTCAGAGTTCCAGGGCACTCTTATATAAGTGGATGGATATGGATGGATGATGTTCATGGGAACGTGGATGGATGGGGATAGGTCGTCCGACACCACTGGCGGATGATTTTTGCGTCTCATGGCTCGGTGGAGCATCGTTGGGTGCCGGGCTCGATCTTCGTTCCCCTGGGCACCTCGTCCACTTCGGTGATGGTGAAGCTCCCCGAACCTGGAGAGCAGGCTCGGCGCCCGCGCGCGTCTAGAGGAGAGTCACTCTGAGGCGCTCAAAGGAGTGCCTCCGCCGGAAAAAAAACACCACAACTGACAACGACCACGACCCCAAAATAGGGGGGAAAGGCCGCCTCCGGCCGCAGACGTCTTTTCTGAGCGCAAGGCCATCGGAGGTCCAAAGGTAGCCTTTCTCACCCTTTTCTTTGTCCGCCGTTTTGGTGTAGACCTCCAGCCCGGGCAGATGACCACTGGAGGATGAGTCTCGGGGGGGGTTTAAGAAGTCCAGTGGAAAAAATGTTCCCAGCATGGGCCCCAAACAGTTTAGGGAGTGTCTTTTTCCCTCAAAGAGAACCCCAACAGTAAACTGTTTGGGGAAATATGGTAAAAAAACAGCTGTGCCTCGACTTTGTCTGCCACAACAAAGGTGGAGTAAAAGCCGACTCCGAACCTAAGTCACCATAGACAAAAGTGCTAGTACACGGTCCTAGGCGCTTTCTTAAGCGCCAAGCTGACCAATGATCTTGCTGGCATCGGACTCGCCACCTCAGTCAGTCAATCCCACAAAGAAGACGGATCGAAGCAAAGGAAACATTTCGGCTGTTCCATGTGACCTCCTGTGACACTCTCTCAACGGCTCACGGCTCACGGCTCCCACTCGCGAACTTGGCTCGGCAGCCGACGTTGGAGGAAGTCCAACGAGCCACTCTTTGCAATGGTCCCCAGATGCTCAATCTGACGATCGAGGCGGTTTCACTCAGCATCTGGATGACTCACGTCGGGGTGGCTTGCGTGATCGCTGCAAACGAACGGCCACCACGAACGGCCGAAACAGCTGAAACCAAAAGCAGACGGAACGGTCCTTGGCAAATCCAGAAGCAAAATCGGATTGCTGTGGGATTGCCGTGGAAATATGTCGATCTTTAAGGGCTCCCTATGGAAGAACATCCACCAGACCTACCTCGGCCGGGGCACCAGGAACCCATTTTCCAAGTAAGCAACACTGACATGGCCCAAGGAATGGCGACGGATGGTCGACATCCCGTCTTGCTACTCGTAGAGCGGCCAGAAATTTGCCACGGCAACGGATGGTCAAATAAGCAAGCGAGCAAGCGAGCAAGCAGGCAGGCAGGGAGGCAGGCACGCAGGCAAGAACGCATGCAGGCAGGCAAGTAAGCAAGCGAGCCCTCTACCAAAGCATACAACTTGAGGCCGGGGGTTGGTGACGAAAGCTAGCATTGCCTTAAAACGAATAATATAAGGTGTGGATGCGCGGCATGATGTGAACATAATGGTCCCAAAACGGATGCTATCAGAACTGGGATGCTCCCAAATCTGACACGTCAAAGGGGGAGTTCAACAGGGGGTCTAGCAGTTGACAAGTTGACAATTCACTGGGCAGCCGATTCCATCCCCCAGCCAATAACTTGCTAAAGCAAGAGTAACTCCAGCTAGCTGCAGCTAGCATTCGTGACCTGACCTGAACATACTTGAACCATCTTGCACAGTACCACATCGGAGTCTTTCTTGACAGCAAATCTCATGGTGTGTTTCCGCAAATCTTCGTCTGAAATCGCTCTGGGTCCCGAAGAGTTCTGAGAATCGTGCCAGCTCATCATGGGTCATTCCAATTCCGGAATCTTCAATCACAAACTTCCTGGCAGCGATATCGTCGGATATCGTCGGATATCGTCGAAAAGCAGAGCTTTTGGAGTCGAAAAGGACAACTGTTTGAAAAGACAACGCCTGTTTTTTTTCTCTGACTGGCGTCACGAGTCGGGATGCATCATGACATGGTGCATTCTGACTAAGCTCAGCTCTGAGCAAAGACTGTAGCTTCCCACAGACTCTGGTTGCGCAAAAGCGGCAAAAGCTGTACAAGTTAAAAGTGCTGTCCACTCACAAGGCATTCACTCTCTCTGTGTGGCGTCTTCCTCCATGTCTTCTTCCTCATCGATGTGTCGCACAGGCCGGTACGTCAAGTATGTGGCCAGGGGACCAGAGCGAAATTTGGCATACCTCCCGGACACTTGCTCATACCTGCGTCCAGCTTGCTTCAGCATGCTTGGCAGAGTTTTTGCCTTCTTCTTGATCAAAGACACTGACTTCTTGCTCGTTTCCACCGCCTTCTCGGCTTCTGAGATCTTCCGCCCCGTCTCCTTGACCGTCTCCTTGGCACTCTGCACCGCCTGCTGCGTCTCGTCCATGGCTCGCTCCTGCTCATCCAGGCTCTGGCGGTTTTCCTGGAGCTTGGAGAGGAGGGCCTGGGAACGTTTGGAGAACTCCGAGTCCAAGGATCTTAAGACCAGTTGATCAAAGGTCTGGCGGCGTGCAAGCTCCTTCTTCAAAACAGCAGGGGCAATGCTCAACAACTCCTGGTGAAAACCCACCTTTTGCCCAGCCTTGCACAGCAGGTTGATTTGCTTCCGAGTCGTTGATCCCACAGTTACTGCTTCTTTGAGTGGCTGATACGTCTTCTCTTGAACTTGCTGCAACTGATGACACTCTTTCTCAGCAAGCTTTACGTCTTGACTCACGCTCTTTCGCTCCGCAGATGCAGATGCCAAAGCCTTTGTCTTGGTGACAATGTACTTGCTCGTCTCCTTGAGCGTCGTTTTGTGGTCTTGCACGGCCTGTTTTGCGTTCTGGAGCTGAGTCTCCGCGTCCACTTGCTGAGCTGCCAACGTCTTCTCTTCCTCTTTGGCTTTGTCAAGGCCATCTTTAGCAACGCGAACCTCTTCCTCAAAGACATTCACCACTTTAGCCATGACAGTGCCGAGCAAAGAGGCAGACTTCTCCTGCTCAGTCTTCTGGCGACTCTTGGCTGCCCGTTTGGCTTCACGAAAGAGCTGCTGAGTCTCTTTGGGGATCGTGCAGATCTTCTCCACACGCTCCAAGATGCTGAGGCACCTGCGGCTGGTCAAGCTGCCTCGCGCTTTGGGGGGGGCTTCCACCTTGGGGGCCTTGGCCGGTCGCTTCATAGGTCCTTGGCGTCTCAGAGTCATGGCGACAAGAGGAGGAGAAGGCGAGCCCCAGGTGGCGACACAAGGCAGCGGCTTTCGGTTTGCCCGGAATGCAGCTGCGGTCGTCTTGGGTTCCAAAACACATCCGTTTTCCTCACTGAGTGACTCGGCCGGCATGAATCAAATCCTGGATGCCCCACCTCTCGCTCTCATTCACACTAAGAGTCACTTGCAGCCTCGCGAAAGAATGCCAAGCCAAGGAACGAACACAACTGATATCGAACGAATAGATCTTTTTAAGGGTTCATCTCAAGACTACAACGGATAAATCATAACGCAGCATGCATTCCTGATATAGTGACGGACGCCCAGATAGAATATGAAAAACTATTTGGTATGCACACAGAATATGTTCCAAGTACAAAAAACAAGTACTGTAGTTTTGAAGTGTGCAGATAGAATATTTGTTTGCACATAGAATGTTTGGGTTGTTAAACTAAATATACATGTTGCTTCAGTCATGCTGATTATACATCGTACATCTTCGGACTGTGACATCCAAAAGCAATCAGATTATGGCAGCTTGTCGAACCAACAGCGATTGACGTGTCTATTATTGTGTATCAATCAACTCAACCACATATATTTCATAAATTCATATTCTATCTAACCGCAACTCCACTTTGCTTGCACTTAGATGGACCAAATAGCTTTTGGGGTTCATATGCAATCTGTGCGTCTACAGTACGATACATAAATTGCCATGCCAACCGAGACGAACAACCGAGACAGGAGACGAGGCACGGCCGCTCGGCGTCGCTGACGTCCTTGACCTGCTGCGTCGTCTGCCTCGGTCGAAGAAACCCCTCAGCCGACCTCCCCGGGCGAACGCGAACGCGGGGAGCGACGCCCAAAGGAGGGGGGAAAAAGGCACCAGTATGCTGCAGGATGCTGGGCTTCGTTGCAGGAAGCGAAGCTTTTCACAAGCATCCGAAGCGTTGGAGATCAACTCTCTGATGAAAACCTGGGAAGCTTTGGAGCAGACGTGTCCAATGAATCTTTGAACTGGAAGAAGCATGACGCCGAACTGTGAAGCCCAATGCCTCTTTGTCTGTGTAGAGAGACTTGGCGACGATGTCTAAGAGCTTCTTGGTCTCGGCCTTCCCAACAAAACACGAACCATGAAACAAGTCACTTCAACTCTTCAGTGCCTTGAACTCATGGGTCTCTGTTGAAAACGGCCTGCATCGATCGACCGGTCCGCTCACGTCGCGGGAACTCCGCCAGACCGACCGAACGCACCGGTCACGCACCCGACGCCTGGTCCAGCGAGGTGTTCTGCTCGGCGCCACCCCCGAGATCTGGGACCGAGCAGACACAGATCGGAGGGACATGAGTGGGTGGTGGCAGGTTGACGCCTGGTCCAATGAACAGGATTCCTCATGATTCCTCTATTCATAAGGGATGTCAACTTCCCCTGGAAGTAGTGGGGGAGGTTTTGACTCACAGCCACATCATCAGACAAAGACAGACAGTGAATGGAGCATCTTGGAGGGTCACTGGCACACATCGTGCGAAGGAGCTTCTGTACCTGTCCGCAAAGACGATTGTTTCCTCCAGAAACTCTGTGGCTTAAGACCACTTGGACAAGCACTGCTGCTTCCAAATGATCTCTTTCATTCAGTTGGCTGTTGCCTCTGCGTTTGCTGAAGAATCACATCGATCCGACCGCCTGGCAGCCTCAGGGCGCCGTGCTTGTCGTCCGACTCGTGCGATGTGCCGTGCCGCACCTGCGCGCCTGGTGTCGGTGTCTCGGTGAAGCGCGCGGTGTCCGAGTGAAACGATGTTTGGATGCCATGTGTCCTTCTCCTCTCAAGCACCGCAGTTGGACGGTCTAGCATTTGGACGTCGGCCTTTTGGGTTCCTCCCAACAAATCACTCAGGACAAATGCGAGGGATTGCAGCTGTACACCGAAGATCGCTGTCCGCAGAAGATGAGATTAAAATCATGGTAGAAGAGTGTCCTGTGCCCTTCATGATGCAACTAGGTCTGATTTGCCGAGGCTGCAAGAGACACGAAGCCAAAGGTATCTCAGCCACCAAAAAGGCTTTTGTACACAGGCCGCCAGAGGCCCCCAGGGTGCACAATGGGCGAGATTGGAAATCTCTACCACATCAATACGAAGGCCATTCTGCACGAGCCATCAAGCTCTGAGCTTAGTTCAAACGCTCTGAGCAGACAAGGCCAAAAGCGAATCATTGACTCTCGGCTTCTGAGTCATAGTTGGGATCCTTCTTGTCCAGCTCCTGGCCACTTGATGAATGAAAAGGAGTCTGGCTTGTTCAAACATTCAAGACCAAGCACATTGGATCTTTGTAACAAAAAAGAACAAAGCCTTTCAAAGAGTTCCAGTCCTCAAGTCCTTTCGCTTCATCACCGGGCCGGCCCATCGTAAACTTTCCTCCAGCACCATCCTCCCAACAGTTGCAGGAGAAGAAAACAATCGCTGAGTTCGCGAGACGCCGGTGACTCGCAGAACTGGAGAGTTCCGCAGGTCAGGTCATGACTCGTCCCTAGTCAGGACCATGGGAAGTGGGGGAGAACGTTCATTCTGTTCATTTTTGGGTGGGAAGAACCACAGCCAGTCCCGGTGTGACCCACAGCCATTCCTGACTTCTCTCACCTCACGACTGAACTCCCATGGGAAGTCCACGCTGAACTGCGGCCTTCTTTGGCTCTCCTCTCACGCTGGACTTGGGGTTGGCGGAGTGGCGCTCCTCGCAAACGTGGCGACAACTCGGGACAGGCCTCGTCAGGAGGGTTTACAGTCATGCATGCACTGGAATTCCAACTCAAACCCTTCACTGCGAAGGTGTCTTTGGTGCCCTTCTACCGTGTTCGCCAGGCAATCTGAGTAGGCTTTCAGAAATCGGTTCATAGAGCCTGAGAACCACAAGTCTCTGGTCGCGCATCGCGCTGTTTTGGGGGTTGCGCCCAGGTACCGTCAGCGCCGTCCGATTTGACGATTCGACTCCTTGCGCGCGAACTTGTCTTCTCCGGGTTTTGGCATGTCCTACAGAAAAACAAAACCCCCAAGCAGCGCTGCACGAGTATTCCGTGCAAATCTACAAGAACACCCATAGATTAACCAAAGCTGTGCCTGGAAGCAAAGCGCGGCAGAGTCTTCAGGAAGCAAGCAACAGAGCGATGGATGCTGATGGATACTAGGAGCTTGAACCAACTCTGCAGGACAAAACTGGGGCCGTAGCTTTCTGTAACCATAGAGTGGCAAAAGCCATCTTGTTGTCTATCTGCCCAGGACTCCAGGACTGAGGCTTCAGCAAAAGGCGCTGCATGGGCCGGACCTGAGGCTTCAGCTCACAGATTCGACGAAGAAGACTTTCCATGGAAATGAAACAGGCTGGGTGCCCATGCCAACCAAAATCGCTGATGGTGCAGGCTACAAAATTGTCTGAAACACAGCGGGTCGTGCATGCAGTGACAACATAGGTGTTGCCGCATATGCACTGCGGTAGTGTGGGTGTGCCACCTGTTTGAGCAACGTGGAGTAAGTCTCAATACTTGAAAACAAACTCTATGTTGCATTGTGAACACCAAAAGTCCTTGCTGATCTTCCGACGTTTGTTCCGGGCAAAGGAAGGAAACATTGCTCTTTCTATCTATATATTTCTCTGAGAACAAACACAAAACATTGCTACTTCCACAAAACATCCACAGCGTGACCGAGAACAGTGCTGTTCCACATGTTCGTCACTTGTGAACTCCAGACTTCTTCAGATCACATGCCAAGCGACGTTGACACATTCAACGTCCCCGTGTGCGGACGGAAACACAGTGGCTTACACACATGGTACCATGACATGAAGCGAACTTGAATCTCGAACACGGCACACCTTGCAACAACATAAGAACTCTTTGGCAAAGAATATGCAAAGGCAAAGCACCGTAAATTTGGCCTTTTTTGACATGACAAATGCGTAAGACGGATCGTGTGAGACGATAAACCTTCGCACATCACCGTAGTTTCAAATGCCTTGGGCACAAACAATTCACAGCGTGATGATTGTGTGCAAAAAGAAATGCAGCTCCAGGAACTAATCGCAGTGCGGGGGGCTTCTTTCTTGAGTAGCAATGAAATGTATGTTCTTGGCGATAATGAGGCATTCTTGGATACCTCAAGAATGTGCAGCACTTCATGTCCACCGCAGACTGCTGGTCTTTCAGCACGGAATTCCATGCGCATAAGATTCCACCCGAGGATGGCACTGCTTTCCTTCAACCCAAGGTGCCAAGTAGTCCGGTACCTGAGTGGACCTGAAGCGTTTTCTCGCTGCGGTCTGGGTGGACCTCCACACCATCTAGAGCGAACTCAGCCCCAAACCATCTAGAGCGGGGTGGAACGTTGCTCAGGGACTCAGCCAATGCCACTGTGAGTACGTGTGACTGCTGAGATTCAATGGATGAACATCTTCGCTCTTCAAGATAGATCACGGAGCACAGTCTTTGTATGGCGAACAGTCACGTCCTTTCGATTCGGAGATGATTCATCGTTCGGTCCCCGGTCCTGCTTGTGCCGCACATTCGCGTTGCAGTCCACGGCGAGGATTGGAATCTGACCAACGAAAAACACCCAGCTGAGTCTGGAAGTTACATTGGTTGAACACGTGAACAAGAAGACTCTCCCTGAAATCATCAACGTGGATGGCGAAAAACACCTCTTGATCACTCTCTTCAGAGATATGTTCAACAAGGTCCTCCGAAGGACAAGGAAAAAAAAACAATGGGGGTCGCTTGCACGGCCGTTGGACACGTGGTTGACCCACTTCTCGAGCACCTGGACTGGTGACAAACACACCACACCCCACCACTCCGAGTGCCAGGCATGCCATCGCTTCACGACGTATCGACACTCGCTGCAGCGCAACTTGAGCACCTCGGGGCCGGCGCTGACGGGAGGCGCGTGTCGTCGTCGTCGTCGTCGTCCGGGCCGATGGGTCTGAGCAAGCTGGCGCCTTGATGGTGCATGAGCCGCGTGTCCTGATGAGAAGAGGACGTGATGATCCTTTCAGCTGAACCGAAGACGACGAGAAGAAAAGGTCTCAGCTTTCGTCCTGGGTGACGGGCCCAAGCTTTGAAGCTGTAAAACCTTAGCATGGACATCCGCACGCACAGACTGTTTGCGGACATCCAGACGTAGCTGGGACTTCTACCGGACGTAACACTTGTGAGAGCACCAGGGACTCTCAGAGTGTCAAGAGCAGCACATGGCACCTGGCCTCAGCGACTGGCTTTACCGCAAATGAACTCTTTCGGAGATTCCGGTCGAAACAATTGTCCCAATGACATCGAATGACCCTATGCAGTATGCAGTGCACACTTTTGGCATCTTTTGGCATCGAGCATCAGGAAGAGAACTTGGGTATCGCCAGTAGAGCCCATAGCGGAGCGCCAGTAGGGCGTCTCCTCTCACCATCATACACCACTTTTGAGGCCCTGGCGGTAGCAGCCCAGTTGATTCCGCGAGAAAAGGCGTGTCAAAACAGCCGCCATGCTGCTGGGAAGCTCTAAAAAGGACCAATGAGTGATTGAAAAAGTTGCAGCCATGCAATTGCAAATCCAACAGTTGGCCAAACAGTCTTGTCTTGACTTTTTCCAATGAAATGTGTAACCAGTCTGTGACGCTAGACTGGCGACAGTGGCCGATATGTCAACGTGCTAAAACGATGAAAAGAGGTGTTCAATGTCTCTATGGACTCCGCAAACTGCAGCTTGAAGAAGTACAAGCAAAGCGGAAAAAGCCACAAACACAACCACCATGACCATCATCACGCCGCTCCCAATCGGGCCAGTTTTTGTTGTGTGACTTCTACCACTTCAGGTAGCTACTATACTGTGACATCTTTGGTTGAGGTCTCCAAGTCCTCCCAAAGGCTTCCCGCGCTGGAAAACCAGGTGCAAGGACCTGCTGAATGCTGCAGCAAGTAACTTTCCTCACTTTGCCAAATTGTGCTACCCTGCTACCCCAACACTTGAGTCGGCCCCAACTGCATACATTCAACAGTCCTGCAGCGCACGAAGATGGAAAACTCAAAACGCTGGACCCTGCCCTTGTGACTGGATTTTCCAGTCCAGGGATGATTGGAAAAGATTCTAAACCTGGCGATGCGTTCTGGCCAAAGCAAGAAACCAACAGCAGCCGAATTGCTCAAAATCGTGGCAAGTCTGTGGATGACTGACTTCAAAAGCACGGCATAGAGCTTTGGCTGCATCGGATACAGCTGGCTTCTAAAAGAAGCCGAAAAAGTTGCATTACCTGAAGGCAAAAATCTCTCACATTCACACAATAAAAATCCGTCAAGAACAATGCTCTGACGTAGTGGAAGACAAGCTCCAAATGTGTTTCTCTGCTGTTTCTTGCAGAAACATCTGACAGTTTGCTTGTTGTTCAGCCACGATCTCTTCTCTCCAATGCAGTGCTTCTAACAAAAGGGGGTCGGCCGCCTTTGGTTCTGTAGAGATGTTCCCACGAACAAGGAGGAGACCTTGGCTCGCAGCCTTTGGCTCTGGATTTGCAGCCAACAAAGTGACGCAGCGCTCCTGCTCCCTGGGGCCCCCGCTGCCAGGGCAGTCACCGCACCCACGACCAGCCGCTTCTGGGTGCGGGGACGGGCCACCATGTTCGTTACGTTTGCGCAGTTGCGCAGGACACTGCGCGGTTGGTGAAGCAAACTTCTGAATTCAGTTCGTGCAGCCCGCTGCGCGCCACGAGTTCCGCCCACCTGCGTCTGCTTGCCGGACCAAGCTTCCGACCTCTTCTGTGTCCTCCAAAGGAACAAAACGACCGGAGACGATCAGAGACAAAGAAATATCCAGAGCTCTTCCGTTCGATATGGCTTGGAAGAACCGGTTTTCTGCAGTGAGATGTGACGTGGTTCTCCTCTCCAAAATGCGGTGGCAACTCTTTTCAAGACGCTTTCCGACAGGTCCATCAGCTCCCACGCAGGTCTTGGTCCTAACAGTCGCTGGGCCGTTAGGTCGTTGATGTGGTCAAAAAATCTGTCATTGGTAAGCCAGGAAAGCCTGATGTAAAAAAATGTCATAAGAGTCAAAAAGGTCAAAGGATAAGTCAAAGTAAAAAAAACAAAAAAGAATCAATCAAAAAGACAAGTCAAAAATACTTAATAAGAACAGTCAAAAAACAAGTAAAAAAGTAAAAAAATATATATATAACAACTCTAACTCCAAAAAATAATAGCAATAAATAAAGAACAGTCAAATAGAAATCAAAAAAAGAAATCAAACATGGTCGGAGAAATGTCACAACAAATATCATCAAAAAACAGTCAAACAAATGTCAAATTTAGACAACAACTCGAACACGCAAAAGTCAAAAAGAAGTCAGATCTTGCCCAATTGACTAGTTTTTGACTTCTGAAACTTTCTGATTTGGCATTCTTCTGACTTTGACTTTTGGCACCGACTACTAGGTTGACTTTCTTTTGACTTTGTTTTTAATCTTGAAAACAGGCTCTCTCCAATGAAAGAATTTTATAATGGTGTGGGACATGATCGCCGAAACTCCGGAAACTCAGCCGCCGGCTGTGCCAAGATCTCCTCGGCAAACTGTCTGAACCAAAAGTGGACCTCAGCAGCTGGGTCATAAGAACCCGCAAGGAGCCAAACAAAGCCAGTGGATTCTGAACATCTTCTAGAGGTTGCGAACAGACCCTAATAACCCTAAGCCTCTGTTCTTGCACTCTGTATGAACATCGGCAACCGCACACATCGGCAGCTCAAGAGCAGCTCCAAACTCTCACCCTAGAATCTTGATAAATCAAAGCCTCCCCAAACATGGATTGCAAAACCTCTTCAGGTAATTTTATTGATCCAGAGATCTCCAGAGTCTACATTTAGCCCTAGCTCCATGTCATCCCATTTCCGCCATCTCTGCTCCCCTTGCTTCCCTTGCTTCACCCCCTCCTGAGTGGTGCACCGCATTGGGACCATCACAGCAAGCAACGATCAGCCGGGCAGTGAGCCCCTTTCGAATCTTTACGACTCCGGTGAACCTGGGCGAAGCAAACCAAGTCAATGGCTTGCGCCATGCCATGCCGTGCCGTGCCATGCTCTAAGGCTGGGGCACCAAAGGATTGTCGAAACAAGCAGCAAGAGTTGCAATCGCCATGACCTGCTCCAAAACGGTGCTCCAAAAGAAATCAAGACTCTTGGGAGGTTTGGGATGTCGCACCAAAACGAGGCCTGTGGAATCGCACAGAAGCGGTAGATAGCTGGCGTGGAGACCTGACTTTTCTCTTAGCACCAAATGATTTTGAGAGTGAGCTTTCAAAAGTGGTCGCCACGAAGGCAGGTTGACACGTTCTCTTCCCCAAAAAAAATGAGACATGTGCTCGCTCCAGGTACCTGGCCACAGGTGGGAACACCTAATCACCTAGCATTGCTAGCAAGCGCTAGTGGTGAGATCACCGCGCAAAGGAGGGCTCACTCGAGAGAATCTGGCACCAGTTCGAGGGCATCTGCAACCAGGTCATTCAAGCACAAGAGCGCCTGCCACAAATAGAACCAAGCCAGGGCGGCCGACTTTCAGCATCCAAACCAGGTGGCCAAGATGTCACAAAAAGTATCCAATGATTCCAATTCATCTCAAACTGGAGAACTGGCACCGACTCACACTTGCTTCTGCTTCTCGCCTGCACTCCCACCCCCTTGGCCAGGACTTCGCCACCGGCCTGCCAAACCCAGACTGGACCGGTCCCGTAACTGGAGCACCAGAAGGCAGCGCGAGTGTCGTCGTGTGCCCGAAGGCAGCGCGGCGCGAATCGGCCTGGCCTTGACTGGAAGAAGCTTGCCTGCACAGGGTCGACTCGCTTCCCCAAGAATCCAAGTCATAAGGGAGCGAAGCGAGTCGAACGAGTTTTGGTGCGACCGATATCCCCAGGTATCCCCAACTTCTATCCCCAGGTTTCTCCTGCACCATGTGAAGTGGGCAATGCAAACTCGCCCAAGTCATTGCTGTTGGCATAGCTTTTCCAAACCTCAGACCAGAAGCTAGCGCAGCTAGCTCATCAGCTCATAGCTCGAATAGCTCCTCTGCCTCTATTCGAGTCCAGCCTCACACTGAGTCCTGGACTGATTGAGGCCAAAATGCTCGTCCATCCACCTGGGCAGAATAAGGCGAGATGAAAGCTCTTTGGTTCTTGTTTGGTTTCAGCACAAGCTGCAGAAGACATGAAGAGTGCGACCATTGATAAAAACATTTTGTGGGGAAATGTCGGACCATCCGCGCATGGGGGATTTATTCATCAGCCATCGAGGTGACATGAAGACTTTTTAGGTGCAGCACATAGTCCTCCAAGTAGTCTCGGATGATGTTGGTCTTCTGGAGGAAAAGACCCATAGAATTTGCAAGGCCTGGAGTCAAGCAGAAAGGCTCCAGTTTCCAGCTTCAACCAAACACCTGCGAGGCCCTGACCAAGGTTTGCAGCTTCTTTCTTAGGGTCTGCCTGAGTTGATCGTTTCCATGGTCGACTGAATCCAAGGTTCGGATTCGGAAGCTCAGACTGTGGCGCAAAAGCTCCACACTTGCTCGCCTGCAAGCGCCGGTGCTCAGAGCGATGCAAAACCTTTGGACCCTCTGAGAGTACATCCTTCTGAAAGGCACAAAATCCAGTGCTTCAACAGCGAGAGAAAGAGCCGGCCTTGCCCTGCCAGTTCAGAGCTCTCCTCGGATTCCAGAAAACGCCAGGCCCGTTGTGGGCTACAACTACCCTTTGTCTTTCCTTTCCGCAGACTTGCAGCATCAAGTCTAAAGCTGAGAAAAGGGGTATGTCTCTCGATGAGGCTAGCAAGTTCATAATGTTGCTCTGCTGTTCGCCTAAAACGGCATGTGCTTGCTTCCTGTTGCTCGTCTGCTGCTCTGCCCCCAACCTTTTGCGGTAGCGCCGCAGTCGAACGGCTGATGTCCGCAGCGGCCAACTGCGATCCAATGGTCAGCATGGTCCCAGCAGCCACCCTCTTCCGGAGTGGCCACTTTGTTCGGGGAGGAGGCCCAACTTCCTGGCGTGTTCAGACTGCCTTTCCTTTTCGCATGGTTTCGCCTGGGTCCTGGCAGACCGGACCTTGACCGGTCGGGGACATGCTGCGGTTGCGACGGTCGCGGTTGCGACGGTGGGCATCCACGCGACGGTTGCGCTCGGCGTTTAACGGTCACGCGCATGCGTGAGTCCGTTCCTTCCATGTTTAACAATGAGCACACAACGTGTGATAGTCAAATGAACTGACAAAGAATCTCTATCATGTCAATGAAAGGAGGCGTGTGCGGTGGAAAAGCAGCTCATCCACCTTTCACTCTGGGGAGAAGTGAAAGACTGCAAAAAGTGTCTGGCTGCTCTTGACCAGCAAAGTTCCAAACTTGACAAACTCGACTCCAGATTTGGCCAAGCTTCCATTCCGCTGGACACAAAGATTCGGGTCAAGCCTTCGCCCACGAGACCGGCCACCATGTGGCAATAGCCTGCCATGCATTCCTCGACTCCGACCGAACACCCGGCCACCGACCCCCAGGTCATGGCAGAACCGCTGGGCTGGACCGCTTGGTGACTCTCGACCGACTCGACTCTCAACCGATGGAGAGACCTCAGGTCCGACCGGCGTGCGGGTGGAGTCCATCGCAGCGGCGAGCTGATGGATGCTCGGTCGCACCGAGTCTCCTTTGTTTCACCCGGTGGAGGTGGTGTAAAAATCCCTTAAGCCTTAAGGTGGAACAACGAAGCCCTAAAAAAGAAAACGGGTCTGGCAGATTCAACAAGCAGAAAAACAGAGGAGGATGGACTGGTCAATGCCATACTTCCGGATTCTTGGGGTGGGAGAACAGGAGGCAACAGACAGAACAGTCTTGACGTTGTCCATCCTGGAGCTCTAGCAACCTTGCCACAAGCATGTAAAACGTCGGAAAACCATTAGCCTCTCCTGGCAATGACAACCGTGAAGTTGTTTATGTCTCAACTTATTCAACCCAAATGCTTCAAGGGTATTGCTATGCCCTCAATGTCAGAGTAAGGGGCCCATGCTACGCCACAACATCATGCTCCCACAGCACGCGTGAGGGACGCAACTGAAACAAGCCAGCTCAGCGGTTGTATGCTGCTTGATCGAGAGTCCCTTGTGCTAAATCGGCAGAGACCTGCATGCTGAGTTGACATCACAGAAATGTCTATACCCAATGCCAAAAGCTCTAAGCACGAGGCATATTCAGCCATGCCAGCACCCATCTTGTCAGTAATGTTTCGAATGACTTCTCGACTGCCTCCCAAGTGTCATTGTCCCCAGTGTCGACTCACTTACAATGGTAATTATTGTTATACATTATTACACATTACTCTCTTGATATCGCCTTGGAAGGTGCAGATTTCTCAAAAGCAAGACTTCCAACCATCTATGTCGGATTTCATCAGGAACCACACAGACAAACCTAATCCGCGGTCCTGCCTTCGCTCAACTTGGCAAAGACACGAGCCTTGTGCATGAGAACGCTTCCACCAAGAACCCGCGTGGAAAACCAAAACGGCCCCCAGCCACACGCAGGTCACCCGCTTTCGGCGACCACGGGGCGACCAGACCATTCGACGGCAACACCATCTCTGGGGCCAGCTCCACGCGACCGAAATTCTCCACAAGGGTTCGCTCATCGGCTGCACCGACACCTCGGTTTGGGGTGGACTGGACACCCTGTTCTTCTTCGGCGGTGTTCGAAAGTCGAGGGAGCTCGTGCCTGTGATGCTACAGTTCGGGTCGGTCAGCCTCGTGAGTTTTCAGGAACAGAAAATGAATTCGGACCAGTTGAAACGCGGAATCGCACCAGTGCGGGGAAGATGGCCTCTTCTCTCCAAAGGAAATGAGTTCTGCCTGTTTGTCAGATTCACGACCTGGTCAAGCGCCGGCACAGCAGAGCTCAACCGGCACAGCAGAGCTCAGCCGGTCTTGATGGATCATTGATTTGCCTGTTGCAGTGCATGTTTATGGCCATTCGCCTTTGTAAGCTTCCATGTCATCCTCCACAGTGTCAAGGGCACGAAGCACCTGGTGCGAATTGGACAGCTCGGTTCATCTCTCCATGACACGTCCCAATCTCTGAAATGAATGCTTTGAGCGCGTGGCCAAGTAAAAGATGCAAATGTCAATGCCTTCCCATTCCAGAACAAGTTCAAGCCAACTCACACAAGATTGGTGTCAAGTCATCAAGGAGAACAACAAAATGTTGCTTCTGGCCACTGAATACAACCGTCACAAAAAAAAATGTGCCAACTCAGGCAAACAGGGTGAGCCAAATATCTTCAATATCAGAACCAATATCAGAGGCTCAGACTCAATTGGGTAGGCAGCTGTCGGATCACTGCCGCAAAAGATCTTGAAACCTGCCAAAAGTCGCAACTGCTTTGCTCAATCTTCCTAATTGCAGTACAGCTTCGAGCGAAACCTTGCCGAGCATGTCATCGCAGAACTCGATGTCTTCGTCTGTCTGGCCCTGCGGTAATGAACACAAAGGAGGTTTACTTGTCCTTGGAACAGGTGCTCTTGATTCCTCGTACCGTGCCAGTACTACAAACACACACATTCTCATGGTGGCTATGCTTTCTGCCTTATTGCCAAATTGCATTTAGAGGTCCAAAAGGAACACACACAATACGAAAACCTCAGCCAGCCAATGGTGCGCTCCTTGATGTTGTTCTCCAAAAGCCCTGTACACCTTAAACGGAGGACACACCATTTCGATCTGAGGGTTTGCATGGGTAAAACAAACCTGTCATCATGGTCTACCAAAAATCAACATTTGCCAAAGTTGCAACATGTGCCAGACCTAGTGCCACAGGCGACGCTGAGTCCTGAACTTCAGCCTCAGGGCCGAGATGATCTCCAATGGCCTTCACGTCAAGCACCATAATGGGTTCCCATTTGGCAGATTCGAGATGACGCAAATCAAGCACCGACCCGACCCCCGACGCACAACGGCCGCATCGCCACCTTGTACAAACATATGTCATGTTCCACTTCAAGGAGAGACAGCCGTGGTGACCCGTCTAGACCGACCCCAAAAAGCTCCGGAGAAAGCTTAGCCCAGGTGACCGCTCCAAACATGGCCATTCAAACACGTGCGACCCGCACCAAGCTGGTCAGGCTGACCCGGACCACCTCCTGACACTGCGACTTGCAAGGCACACAGCTTTGGAGGAGCCACCTGCAACTACTGCTACTCCTACTCCTACTCCTACTACTGCTACTACTACTGCTACCAATACTTATACTTATACTTATACTATATAGTTAGAATACTAATACTACTGAGGTGACTCCGGTCGTTCCCTTGGCCCCCGACCCAACGACAAGTCGTCGGTTTTTCGGTGGCCTCATCAGCTGATCAAGCTTCGGGATCTTGTGGGTGGGGACCTGCTACCGGTCGCAGCGAGTGATCGAGCGTCGAACGGGGCGGTCCACCGACCCAGCAGACCCCCGGCCTTTCCATATCCGCCTTGCTTCACATCCCCTGAACCAAAGGACCGACTGGAAGGACAAGCAAGAACCACCAAAGGTGAACGAAGCAAGGAAAGAGTTAGTTTTAAAAAAGTTGAACCAATCAAGAAGTGAAAGTTCCACTGAACTGCCTGCGGATGTGTCGACTTCAGCTTTTCCTCGACCCACGAATCCCACAATGCCTTTGGGCACATCAGCGTGATGCAAAACGATTCTCTGCATGGTGTAATGATTAGCACAAGGAGGCTGTACTGTCTTAGGCCGCTACGGTCTTCATGTTCAGCATCCAGCGCAACTTTTCGACGCTGGGCCTTTTCGGAATGACTTATAACAACTTATTTACGCTATGCTTAAATGATGACGTGAGGTTTGGAAGGTTCGCGATGTTTCACCATTCTGTGCTGTGAAAGTTCAGCGAGCCTCTCCACCTTCTTTGAGGGCAGCAGCTTCAGCCTGGGCTTCAAGTCATAGGACATATGATCGCCATGAATCAAAAATCCCTGAAAAACCGCCGGCCGCATGGAGACTTCGTCCAACCTTGGAGACTTCGTCCAAGAGAGGCTTGGCATCACCCAGGCCTCCATGAAACTCCTGCAGAACCGATCGACCAAGCTTCCGCTTTGGGCTCCACATCGACGGAACCGGCACCGAAGCACCAAGCCGGACGCTCCGGCGCGGTGTCAAAGCGGTGGATGGACGTCACGTCCACGTACCTGGGTGTTTGTGCTTCGAAAAGCAAGGCTGAAGACTGATTCTCAAAAGATGGAAAGACAAATGAAACCACAGGTTCTGTGCTTTTCCTTCACATGAGGCTTTTCAAATGCCTTCGGTGCTCTGCTCTCAGGCAAGCACTTGTCAGTTGTGAGAGCAGTATCCAAGTCCTGAGAGTATGAAAACCACTATCATAGGATAAGTCTTTCGATTTGTTTGTAAGAACTCGTCTTCACCATCTCAAGAAGACAGGACAGAGTCAGGCCTGCCACCAGGCATCCAGCAATCGCTCCTTGATGATTCTGAACCTGAGCTTCAAATGGATAAATAGAGAGAGAGCTTGTATATATATATATATGTATGTGTGTGTACATATATATATATATCAAAAGTTGAGACCCCCTGCCCAATGGGCTTCTATGTTCCCTCTACTCTTCCCAGAACAGGTCTCCTATGTCTCCCTATTTCAACAAAGGCCGCATCTCGCTGAGCTCACGTCCATGGAGACCAAAGCGGCATGTCACCCTTTCCTGCCATCGCCTGAACCCCCCACTTTCCATGACTCAATGCACTGGGAGAAGTCTCTCGACCGATGAGCTGGGAGAAAGTTGGCCTCTTTGAGGTCTCCACTGCCAAGCCACCGAACTGCCTGTGAGCACTACAAGGCAGTGCAAGCACTGCCAGTGCCAGCCCAGAGCTTGCTACATAGGCTACGATACGAAGCAATAGAAATTGTCTCGAAAGTACCATACCCGTTGGTACAAAATCACGCCTCCACCTCTTCAGCATTTGGCTTTACGCTGAGCTGTTCACCGGCATTGAGACGGTAGAGCCTTGTTGCGACTCGCGATTGCCACGATCAAGTAAACAGCGAGCAGCCGCAGTAGCAAGTCTTCAAGTAATACTACGCAGGTTTGCGGAGCTTTGTCGGTCCGAGAGCTTGACAGAATGTGATCAATCTCATGCTCACCCCAAACGGCCTGCAGCACTCGGAACGACGGGCGGCTTGCGCCACAGGCCATGATGATTTCGAGCTCGCTCGAGCTCTCAACATCTAATGGACTAAAAGCTGGACCGTGGGGTTAGTTGAACACAATGTGAGTCCTGAAAATTGCCATGGATTATATAGAAAAAATAGAATTGAAAAACATCACAGAAACTATTCGTCCTACACTGCTAGGCCCAAGTCCGCAAGGTTTGGTAGGGAAACATGAAGTGAGGCACCCCGAGATCGATCTTTCACCGGCCTCCGAACCGTATGTGCCCACGTCAGCAGCCCAGTAGTGCACTCCTGGCTGCGCTCCGCTGCGCCAGGATGCGTCACCAAGTGCTTGTGCTTTGCACCGAAGCTCTGAGAGCAGAACGAGTCAGGAACTTAAAGCGCGAGGCATCCAGTTCCGCCTGCAGAACTTCGTGCAGTAATCCACCACAGTGCTGTGAAAGCGGAGTGGAAGGTCACGGGCGATCTGGCACAGAAGTCTTTGGAACATGTTTCGAAGCTTTTCCCTGCTCAGCCTGTCTGAAGAGCTAAGGAAACTGAAATGTGTCCAAAAGGCAAAAAACGTGCGACATGGGAGCAGTGGAACGAGATCAAGCAAAAGTCTGGACTGACATTTGCTTCATGGCCTTAAGCTGTTTCTATCCGCTTTCAGGAGACCAAGCTTTTCTGGGGAATCATCAGAGGTCGCGCGTCAGAATACATACTTCAGAATGCTCATGTCGGCTGCAGCACGTTCACTATTTCTACTCTACCTTCATGACCTGTGACCGTCTGCGACCTGCGGCCAATTCTCAGGACTCTACTGCTGGGATACCCAGTTCGTGTCCAAGCTTTCGAACTGCTGCGGCCTGTCAATGTATCCGAACGGATGATCTGATGGAAAATCACTCGCAGCTGGAGGGAAGGACATCACTGACTCATCACTTGTAGCTAGCTTTGACAGCCTTCACGCCCTTGGGATCACCCTGGGCAATGGCTTCGGGCCTGACCCGTCGCATGGTCAATCTGCTCCCTTTGTTACCAAGCGAAATGAACATGAGAGAGCTTTGATATCTAATGAAGAGTCAAAAAGCAGAGGACAACTCAAGAAGCAGAGTGCAGCTCAGAGTTCTTTCCAGGACCCTTGCTGGTCCACTTCACATGGCTTCATGCCATAGAGTGGATGGCTGCAGCCTTTTGCGTTCACAAAAATGAAAATTGTCCTGTTTACTTTCACTCTCAGCACTTGAGTTACCAAGTATAATAGATACAGTGCATTGCATCGTTGAATCTTAAGCATCAAAACTGATTGCGTGGAATTTCTCAGATTAGGACAGGTGTTCGTCCAAACAAGTGGGAAGGTGATCTTGCTCTTGGCCCTTTGTTGCAGCCTCGAAGCCGAGGTGCATGCTCACAAATGTCTGCAATCCCCCATTCAAAGACACATTCAAATATCCACGTGTACAGTGTACATGCTTACAACACTCTCAACATGAAAAGTTATCAAGTCAAAGAAAAACCAAATCAAGTCAAAAATGATTGTTGTTATATATTTGAACCCCTCTGTCCCTTTGCGCGACGGTGTAGAAGTGCATCCACCATTCGCAGTGGAAACTCCCAATCGCCCCAGGGCTCCGACAGCAAACGGTTTTCGTGGTCAAAGAGTAGCACCGAAAAGGCTCGATGCCTCGCCCGCACCGAGCTCGCTCCGCGGGAGGAAGAGGAAGGGAAACGGCAAAACGGCTGCCAAGGCCCAGTGCTGAGGTAGTAACAGCAATCCTCGAGGTTGGCCAGGTACAAACTTGTGACAGTTGTACTTGTTGTTGTGCCCAATGACCTCTGTTTCACTGAAGTCAAGAAATACAAGAATGTTCCACCTCTTTGTGTATGCCGTAGATTGTTGTATATTTATATATGTCTATCTAGATCTATATATATATATTTATATTTTGTTGTATATATATATATATTTACGTTCACATTCCTACAAAGTTTCTTGCTCGGCCTCATCCATGTAATTCACAAGAATGCACTCGTCTTTGAGCATCAGTTCATCCTCCGATCCGCCATCTGCGAGTGTTCAAGGTCCATGTCGACTCGAGACCGTCATCTATCTATCCATGTCGATGCCGTCGGTCCTGTGTCTTGCCTGCACCTGACCAAATTTGCCCTTCACATTCCCCGTTGGCAGCCATGGGCCTTGCGGAGTCAACACGTCTTAAAGCTGAAGGTGGCCACGATGTGACAGGGCCTTCTTCACCACGTTGAGTTGCGAGAGCAAGGGTAAAGAGCTAAATTCAAGAGAATTGACAATTAACACAGGTGACAGTTGTAAAACAAAAGTTGTGTTAGAAACATCCAACATTGAATCTAAAAACAATGCAAGTGAAGGTAGGAAGTGTTCTGAAAATGGTTTGAACCAAAAGCATCTCGAAGTCACAACGGGTAAAAATGTATGCTTATGTCGGGCACGCCAGCCATAGATACAAGGAGCCAAAATAGTTTTATAAAGCAAAAACAAAGCAAAAAAAAACAAAAGGCAAAGCAAACAAAAAAACAAAAAAATGTAGCTGTGCGTATTTGTCGTTTTTGTTCACTTTTTTTAAGCTTTATTTTCGCATTTTTTTTTCGTTTTATTTTCGTTTTTTTTCGTTTTTTTTTCGTTTTTTTCCTAGGAGTGTACAGCAAAAACATATTTGTCGTGTTTTTTCACTTGTTTTTCGCTTTATTTTCGCATGTTTTTCGTTTTTTTTTTTCGTTGTGTTTCCGTTTTCTTCGTTTTTTGTGTTGCTTTGTTTTTGTTTTTCGCTTTGTTTTTGCTTTGTTTTTGCATTTTCATTTGCCTTTATTTTGTTTTTTTCATTTTTTCACAAAAAAAAATATTTGATGGTTGGCCATGTATGGCTGCCATCGCCCAACATAAATGTATGCATTCCACCAAAAACACACATGTCCAACAAAAAACAAAACTCAATAGACACCATCAAAAGCAGCCAGCACCCTACCATTCTTTGGCAATTTGATCCAAACACATCAATGAAATTGCCTTTTGAGACTAAGGTTGACAAGGGAAACCTTATGTTTTTTCCGGTGTTTCCCAAGGTGGACCAACACCATGGCCACAAATGCACCGAGACACCAGCTTGTCCATGACCACAAATGCAAAAAAAAACGCAAACTGGTCGGAATGCGTGTGGAATGTCAAATTAGAACACACGTTTCCAAACTCTGGTGGTCTGGCAAGCTTGCAAATGTTTAGATTAGAGAAAACAATTACACAGTCCACAATCGAATTCAGTTTCATGTCCGAGTTTCCAAACAACTTTGTGCGCGAATGGTCATGCAGCCGGCACGCGTTGGGTCTTTCCAACGGATTTCATATTTTTCAGGCAACCAAACAAACCCAAATCAACAATAAAACAAAAAGAATGTTCAGATGCCACAAATCTAGGCTTTGGACGTGCTTTGGGACCACGGTAAAAACGACAGCTGCACCCTTGTACCCCATTCTTCTCTCCCCAACTCAAACACATGATCTTGTCTTATCCTGTCCTCTTCGCAGTCGGTGATCGAGTTTTGTTTGTTTATGAGAATGAGCAAATTCTGCCACTTCTGCATTCACTCTTCGTGGAGAGCTTACCCATGTTACATACTCCCCCGCAAACTAACATAGAACCTGAGAGTTGACCTGTGGAAGACCATTTTCCTCTACAACCGAGTGGTTTTGGTGTTCCATGTTAATCTGCAGGGGCGTATTCTTGTCTTCTTATCGGAATTTGGATCTCTTTGCTTGCCCTTGCATTCGCCATTGCCCTTCCCAGCTCCTGTCAAAAGTTTTTTGTTCTCTAGTCTCTTCTTGGGCGAAGGCTGCGGCTCCACAGGCGCAGCTGGAACATTTTTTACCTCCTAAACGTGTGGTCAAAAGCTCACGCACCTTTTTCAGCGGGGAACTGCAACTC